GGAGCTCTTTTTCCTTTTTTTCCTAATCTCTCCGACAGATTTGCACAAACCTACTGTGTTGATGAGTCGACTTCAACAGCGTAGGTATCATCATTTAACTGTTTTACCTGCAGTATGTTAAAGTACATTACAGGAAGAAGGATTTCATCCCTGAAGTGACTGCAGTCACTCTGATCCAAACATCGTCTGCTCAGACCACTGTGTGATTCTTTCTGCTAGATTTCAAACAGAAAATTATTAACTGAATCTATTTTTAAATTCCTTTTCAAAACCAAAATAAAATACTATCTCTCAAAAACAACAACAAGAACTACACTAGGTCCACAGGTTAAATAGACAGTCCAACTACTGCTTCAACTACAGTCCAAGACCTGACTGGCAATTGGTCATGACAAGGAAACACAATCTCAGTGAAGTGTAGACCCAGTGAGCCCAGGGTGACAAGTTTGGAGAATGTTCACGCCCAGAACCTGCAGGCCAGAGCCGAGCCATGCATGTGGATTTCATCTAGGGATGAATGATTAGTTCACAGACGTGATCAGCCTCCCTGGGAAACCCTCTCCTGACAGGAAACAGTGTGTTTTTGTAAGCAACAATCAGGCATAAATTACTACAATCGTGCATTGGTTTTCAATTTATCACACAGAACCCCTTTGTTTGTCCTGCTGCACATTTGGCCTCAGCATTGTTATTTTAAGGTAATCACCATTTGTTAATGATATTTGCGCATTTGGGATTGTTTACGCTGAACTGTGCGTCTGCTGTTTTAATGTTGTGCAATAAACGCGCTAATTGTTTTGTGTCTTTCCTTATTTTTGTATGTGACAAATGTGCTCCAATGAAGGGGAAAGGTCAGGGGAAAAATGTTTTTGTTTGTTTTAAGATAGCAGGCTATTTAATCAAAGTATTAGGCAAATGTAGGTTTTAAATTAAAAAAAATAAATAAGTGCAAACATTTAGAAATATACATTACTTTTAAAGACATCCTTTATCAGACTATGTACACATTTTAGAATGTTTTATACAGTTCTAAATAGTATGCAGTATAGCACTCAAAGATTTTAGCATAAATTAGTCATGTTTGGATAGATAGAATCTAAAAGAATAAAGAAACAACTGTCATCTCTCTCTCTCTCCACATAGATATTCAAATAAAATATATGCATATATGTATATATACACATATACAACTATATCTATATATGTATTCATAGAGAATAATAGAATATATATTTTATATATAAATATCTATTGTATTGAAGTTTAGTTAAAACTGTTATTTAATGCCAACATATATTGCTTGAAAGTTCGTGCCGTTAGAGGAGTTTCCACATGTGGGTTGAATCATATTTCATCAGGGATAAAGGGGAGCAAAGATGAAAAAATAAACAATCTTCATATTTAATCAGCATATTTCTGTAAACACAGTGTATTCATAGAGAATTCAGTAAACCGCCTCCACTAAAACCCTTTTCCCACTGTCGATGAATCCTAATTGCCATTGTAGTAAAGGCATTGCTGAGTTGGTTTTCTGCCAAATGCATCACTGAGAGCTCCATTAAAACAATAGTAAACAGATGTGCCACCCAGTGCCAGAGTGTGATTGGCCTATGTGTGTTTTCTCCAGGGAAACTGCAAAATAAAACCTTAAAAGACTTGAAAGGAGATGACCTGTTGTGTTTTTATACTGCATTATACTCAGGTATGTTAAGTACTACAAACACAACAGGAACAGGTTTAAAGCGAGCCCTCAGAGGCTGATTTTGGTCGGGCTCACCGAGAAAAACAGGGAAGTCAATTATGGGTCACATACCAAACTACCACATAATGACCTGCCAGTTGTTTCTTCAACAGGTTTTCACACTACTTCTCAAACACAACATATACGGTGTGAGTAAAATGTATGTGCATTACATTACTAATGTTCAATAACAGTGCAAAAAATACTTTTTTGCACACACTTTTGATGTATTCTATTGTGAAATGTACAAAATGTGTGTGTATCATCATCTACAACTGGTATTGTGGTCATTTGTAATACTGCAGCTCTGTATTTTATGTGTAATCAAATACTGCATTGAAAAACAACACATATTTCACTTATGTTTCTTTAATATTCTTTACAGTGAGAAAATGCTAATTTAACATACGCTTTTTCTGCATGAAATAAATAGGTCAATAACAAAATAAAACAAGTCAAATAAAGTCAAGTTGCCCTTTTGATTCTGAACAACTTTGCACCACGTGTTAAAAAAAGGAGCTGAAGTCAAAACTGCTGAGTGTGAGGAGTCATGGTTGTAAAGAGTGCAGAGAACGCATTAATAACGCTTCACTTGAAATATTTGTCATGATAAATTTACAATGTTTTCACGTGTAAGTGTGTATGACTAAAGGTCACATTTAAACAGGGGTTAACAGAGCTGAACATCTGCATGTGCCAGTGTTGCAATAAAAGCTAAATACATGTGGTTTGCTGCCTGTGAATTGATTCTACAGTCTGGTGACATGAACCTCTGCACCACAGGAAATGAGGAGAAATTTAAGCCAAACTAAAATAAAATAATACACACACAATACTGTAGTGACGAGGCTTGCGCATTAGACATTAGTCAACGACTGGCTGGACTGTTGAACAGATCTAATGTGGTCCATAATATTTCTATTTCCTCGCTTTATTTAGGTAATTACTCAACTAATTTATATAAACTGCTGCACATTTTATGCATACTTGCTATGAATCTTTTCTTTTATATCAAACTGTTTTGTTTACATCAAATTACATCAAATCTAATTTATATTTTTACTATTTTTTGTTTAACATTTATTTCTGGGCTTGATGCAGACTTTTCTAAATAGTCCGTGTGTTTGCTGACATAAAATACATTATAAAAGTTGAAATATTTTGAGGTTATTACATAATCTTTTTACAACGAACAATAAGGGCCACACTGAGGATGAAAAAAATATCTCAAAGTTTAAAAGAATAAATTCATATGGAATACTAGGACTGATGTGAGAGAAAAAGTTTATATGATGTGTCTTGGGAGAGATGAGAGACAGACACGCAGCGTTAACCATAAGTGCGTCAGCATCTTGTGAAGTTATACTTAAGTAGTGGGTAGCCTCTACTGTCATTAATGTTTGACTTTTTTCTCATAAACTTATGATTTAGGTCTTATAAGCTCATTAATTTATTCCTGTAAACTTACAACTTTTTTTCTCAGGAAAATACAATATATTCTTTGTAACGTTACAACTTTTTTCTCATGCATTTATGACTTTAAACTAGTAACTTAATTTTTTTTTTTCATGAGGGTAAAGAGTACATTTCTACATTTAGCACATTTTTATCAACTTTTACTATATTATCATATATTTTAGTCAGTGCTTAGTCATAACATTGACCATTGAAAAATCTTGCCTTTGTTGAATATGTGTCTTTTAAAGCTCATATCAAAACAAACATTTCCTTTGTCTTGTTACCTGTTTCAAAAACTTTAGGTGATAAACTAAACTACAAATATTTTTGTAAGAGTACTTACAAAACGTAACTTTTCCGCAAATAGACTGCATATATAGAAAGGTTATTCATCTGTAAAATCATCATGACAAATAGCACAAGTTCAATGTTACCTCACTCTCAACCAGAAGAAATCATTGAAGCCAAAACAACATGACATCCTTTATAAAACAAAAAATAAATACGTTTTATCCAAAACGAAATCCTTCAGGAACACAAAAACTGGCCAAAGGAATAAACAGACACAGCAACGACGACTTAAAGTTTCAAAGTAGAGGTATCTGTGTGCTTAGGCTTGTTTCATGGATACTGTTGGATACCTGCAAATACACCAAGGCTCGGTCGGCTGCACTGACATACATTACATTAAAAGAAGCTGCACCTGATTGAACACATTTACTCTAAAGCTAAGGATTTGGAACTAACTGATCCTAGCACTGCATCACTACTGAGTATATTGTAAACTTCAACAGTGTCTAACATTGTTTTTCTACATGGAGTGATCACACTACATATGGTGTATGAGTGTAGTTTATTTAATTATTTTATCAGTTGTTATATTCTATTAATTTTTCCCCAGATACTTGCTACACTTTTGGTTATTGAAGCTTATGAATAGTTGGTTTTTATAGTTACCCTGGTTACTACTGTGACATATGACCTAAAATATTTACTGCTACATTGCGTTCATTTAAAAAAAAAAAATCATACACAGTATCAAAAATACAAATGAAACATAACTTGAAAAAAATATTTTCCTCTGTACAAACTGCATTTTACTTATAGAGAGATACGAGAAGGCTGATCGAGAGCACCGGCAAAAAGAAAAAAAAAATTAAATATTTGAAAGTCAGTATGGTAAAAACTGGCGAGTTAAAAATGAACAAAATCATACTGTACAAAGATACACGTACAACACACACTGACAGTCATCTGCTGCTGTTCAATTATAGGTCATAATATAAAATCTTATACACAAATATACACTTGTGTACTTCAAATACAGGGTGAAGGCAGCCGTAAGAACAAAGAAAAACAACTTCACGCCTTGTGTATGAAATAAATATTTTCTAGCGATATGCCTCAATAAATATATGGCATTCTTGGACAGCACTTTCCTGATTTATGTGGTTTAATTTGGAGCCTTGGCTCAATGTGGGATCCATCTGTTTTTCATGACCCCCCCCCCTTTAAGTGGAACAGCGTTGTGTTTCTGTGTATTTTCCTCTTATTTTTTTTCTTGTTTCTAATCAGCACCATGCCACTGCAGGGCCCATCTGGGTGGGCTGGAGGGAGAGAGGGAACACTGGCATTCCATGCCCAACTCTCACTCCAACAACTACAGTTTAGAGAAAATGTTCACACCCTGTGCACAGGTCAGGAGTTGTTAGCAACACACTAGGTCTACTCACAGTGAAGTGCCCTCATTGAGGAGGATGTGTTTAGTGTTGTGGAGAAAAACAAGTTAGTACGATCATACCGGCTTCCAGGGTCGACGGTGCCAGGAGGCAGAGCCCGGGCAGGGCTGCAGGTTGCACTGCTCCATATCCGGCGGCTTTTCCAGGACATCACAGTTGTATTCGTTGAGTCTCTGACCATTTGGCCTTTGACACACCACAAGGCGAGTCCTCCTTCCTCCACCGCAGGTCTGGGTGCACTGACATAAACAAAGAAAAATGTTTATTGTGTTTTTGATTTTACACCATAACATTTATTTAGCTGGTGTTTGGTGTTTTTTTCGCACTAGGTGAACTTTTTCTAACCTAAGGTTTCAAGACACTGTCCAGATGGCAGCCCATGTACAACATGGTGTTTCTGGGTCCTGGTAACTGTGTCTTTCCAACACTATTGGCTGATTTGCAGCCAAAACCACTGCAAAGACTCCTTAATAATTTGTGAGTATCCCATGTTATACAATACTTACAGATTCCTAATGACTTCAGCATTAGCATAGTTTCAGTTTCAATGCAATTTTACATTATACACAGAATAACAAACACAATCAAAAACCAATCCTAGAAGAAAAAAAGATCTCTGAGGCCGACAGATATTTAGATGTCAAAATGGGGTCACAAGCCAGAAATGGTTTGGAACCACTGACTGCTTCACTGTTCCACAGACATTACTGTAGATAGAGATGTATGTAAGTATATTATAGTTGTACTGTGAATATAACTCACCTCTCCCCACACACCGTAGTTCCACAGAGGGCAGGGTCCAGAGTCACAGCTCTTGGACTCGGCAGGTTTGACTCTTTCATCACAGTAACTGTTACTTCGTCCTTCTGCGTCTTGACAGACGACCACTCGCCTCTGAAAGCCTCCGGCACAGGTACTGGAACACTGTTGGGCACAAACAGTGATAATAAGAGACTGTTTAGGAACACAAAAAAATAGGAAAAAAAAAAAGAAAAACACATCTAAAATGAAAAGAATCACTAAAATAAAGTCTGGCAATTAGAACCTTTAATGGTGCACGAAACCGCCATCTCAATAACAGATTTGTGTTTCTCAGATGAAATGTGTCAACATGTGGTGTTAATGTTGGCGTTTCATCAGAAAAGACAAAAGCCTGTTTATTATCCTTGAGCAGGGAGCTGATTCTACTCTAAACAGAACAAAGTACTGTGTTTTTTCATCCGGAGGAGCATGTGTTCGAAAGTACAAACAGAAGCGTAGTAGTGGAGAGAAAGAACAAGTACCGTCAAACTACAGTTGTACATTAATTACTTTCCAACTTTTCTTCACCTCAGCCATGTGAAAACAAACACACCTCTGGGTAGTAATGATGTTGGCCAAGGTGCACAGGGGGGAATTCAGGTCAATGGACTCAAACTAGAGCCATAAAAAACCCATACTGTAGAACCATAAAGTATATACTGTACGTGAATCACGACCCAAACCTTACAACACAAATGTTTTGCAGACAGTCAGACACCACAGATGGTTAACCAGAAGAAAGAGAGCCTTTAGTCTGATAAAAATAGTGTTCTGCCTGCATTTGATTCAGAAACATTAAAATGCTGGACAGCTCTGAAACATTTGTATTTCTCCATGCCCAATCGATTTCAACCAAAGATCTGAGATTCTAGCTGAAGGAGATTTTTCTTGGTTGAGTGGCTACAGTATAGATCACTGCTCCAGACATGAGATTTTAAATGGGGCTCCAAGCAGTAAAGATTTTTGTTTTTTGATGATTTTTTTGTGTATATGTCTTAAAATAGAAATGGATGTTTTGGAAGTTAGTCTCTAACTTAGTCTGTCCCAATTTAGTCAGCAGAAAATAGTTAATATTACTTTAGCTTGAAGTCACTGAAAAATTAGATTATTTTATTTACTTAGATTTAGTTGACCCAAACTGAGTGTGTAATATTTTAGGGTTCAATGTGTTCAGTGTACAATTTACTAACTACCATCTTTACATTTATTATGATTGGCTCCCCCTTCAGGTGTACCACCTTCTAGCCAAAAAACAAAACCCTGATTGGCTCCCACCCTTATTTGTTCCTCCTGTTTACATGACAAAATCAGAGCTGATACCGTACTGACTAATGTGTTAATACATTGTCGACATCATTCAGCTCCAAACACTTTCCTAGTTAATTTTCGTTTAGCTTTCATTACAAGAAATTAAGTCTAATGAGTCACCTGGCTGAACATTTCATGCCAAAGACACATCGCGATGCAACTGAACTAGATTTCCTTCTCTGCTTATTCAATTGGGGTACTGAACCAGGTATATTGTCTATATTCAAATGGAGACACTGACCCTTTACGTCTACAAAGTCTGAGTAGAATAAATAGCAAACAAACATACTGCTCCCCAGGGTCCGGTCCTCCATTGGTTGTCTGCCGAAGGAACATTCCAGCTGCTGTGCCCTGGGTGTCGTCCTGGGTCCTGTGGATACCCGTAGGGCTGGTCGATAATGCGCTGGCGTTGGTTAACAGAGGGACAGGGTGCAGCTGTACACTCTTGTTCCATCACTGGCTTTTCATCAGGGTCGCAGAAAGACTGGTCCACGGTCTGGTGGTAGTTGGAGCAGACCACCTGTCTGTTGGTTCTGCCCACGCCACATGTGACTGAACACTGGAGCAGAGATATGAGGGAGGGAGATGAGCAACAAACAGGTGAGAAGCTGTCTTTTATTACAGTTCAATATGAAGTGTATTTACTTTTGACTGTCAAAACATCTGAAAACATGAGCATTGTTTAGAGCTTTGAGTTTCCACTTTAAATTAAGACTCTTAAATATAATTTTAATCAGATTTTAATTAGTGAGTTTGGTGAAATTTGACTGGTCGAAGTTTGGGGATCCAAAGATTTGAGTCTACGTCTGTGAAAAAAACAATGGTAGAAATCAACTCAATATGACAAAAACCCAAGACAGGTTATGTGTTAGAAATATTCTGCTTCAGACAAGTTATGTCTGCCAAAGTCTCAGATTCCATTTGATGTTTAACATGGGGATTTATTAAAGAACTTATAATCATATGTTTACATTTCACTTAAACAAAGGATTACAAGAGTTTCCAGATCATTAAAAAACAAATCTGTTTTCAGACTTTTCAAAAGGTCATACCCATGTGACCTGAAGATGATTTAACCTGTGTTGAGAGTTCATCTGCTAAATGGCACTGACACCTGCATGCAGTACTGACATGGACTAACAGGGTTTTACTTACAGGAGACCACTCCCCAGCACGCCATTGTCCACATGGGCTGAAGCAGGCAGAAGTTTCTGGTGGGCGTGGCAGAGGGGCACAGTACGACTCGTCGGCCACACCTCCGTGGGCATCCCTGCAGCTGACGTAGCGTGCGCGCTTCCCTTTGCCGCAAGACACTGAGCACTAAGAAATGCAAACATAAAGGTGACAAGAAGGTGAAATAGGGTTGATGCTGATACTCATCTCACAATTAAATACTATTACTTTCAGTTTTCAAATTTGTTAAAATGTGATGTTTGATGATCTTTTGGGGTTTTTTTTAACTGTAATGTTAATGTTAAAACTTCCTGCTTGTTTTCTCATTGAAAGAGCTAAATCTAGGGAAATTACAGTACATAAATAACAGTTTCTTTTACCTATCAATACAATTTCCTATGGTAGCAAAATTAAAAAATATATTAAAATTATTATTAATATTTCTGACTGTGTGCTACTGTGTGCTTTCTGACTGTGTGCTACTTCAGCCTTTATTTCACAACAGTTGAAAAGGAAACCAGGACCACATGAAAAAAAACAAAGCAAAATACTTTATCTTCAAGTTTATCAACAAGTTTCCTGGCCTTTTCATTCCCTTTCTGTCAGTGCTGACAAGTATGACAAATCAGTCCAGTTAAGCTTGATTACTTAATATATTTTTTCCACTGGGGTACTATAGAGACTCAGCTGTCAACAGGTAGTCAACAAAATTTTTCCGAAGGATATGAATATTTTTTTTCTTAAAATGAACGGTTGAAATTACAGCAGTTTCACATGCGTAGGTGCATGAGGTGGATGTATTTTGCAGGAGAAACTGTGTGTTTGTATGTGTGTGCATGTTTGTGCGTGTTTGTGTACAGCGTGGGCCTCTCTGACATACGAGCTCACAAGCACTTTCAGTTTGACAGACAGGGTTCAATCGTCGAAACCACAGACTTGTGTTTGGATGAAATCTGGTTTTCATTATCAGTGAGTAAGAAGGCAGTAGTATCACAGAGACAGAGGGGCCTCTCAGCCCAGACTGAGTGTATGTGTGTGAGTGAGTGTGTGCGCGTGTATATATTTGTAGGTTGCAGCAGGGGGTAAAAGAGACAAGACCAGAGGATCACGGCCCTGTACAGTATGTATGGTTTAAAAGAATTTGGGCTACAGAGTAAACTAATACATATCGGCTTTGTACTTGGAAACACACATGCAGATATACACAGACACAAAACAATTTACTCTGTTGTTGTATACACTGTAGTAAATGGAGACTAATGTGCCCTGCAAATCTGGTTTGTTTTCTTACAGCAGTCCAGGAGCCATATCTCCACTGAGTCAGGAGCTGAGCCGAGTTGTCAGGACGAGGAGTGCTTTGCACCGACGAGGTCCACGGACAAGCTGCCATTTCACAGTCCTACAGGATCAATGGGATACATTTTAGCTTCACATCAATCTCACAAACCATTTTAGAACTTAAGGCATTCTCAACGTTTAAGAATATTAGCAGATATGCCTGATGTAATATCCACATATGCAGGAGACCTCATTACCAACAGCCAAAACATTACTTATCTGGAGACTGCAAAGGTCATCAGTTCAAAAGTCTCTGGGTTTCGTGTCCATCAGTGTCTGAGAAACTCATAAGCAACTCACTTCTACTGACTAAAGACAAATGTGCAACAGCCTTATGGTTTATGTCCACTTGACATTGAATGGGCCTTTGAGCAGAAGCTCCGAACAGGTAAACATTTAAAGAGGCTGCTGATGTCAACCAGGTCATGACTTTTGCTCCACAGGGGATTAAAGTAAATGTTAATGGATGTAATGACTGTCATTAGGGCAGAACATTAACCCTAACATTTGTCAGGTTTCACTTCAATTTTCTGGACCATATTGTTGGTATTCTATGAACAAAAACATCAGCGGGTCTTGGAAGAAATTCCACCAGATTTAATTCTTACTCCACACATCCATCTATGTTGGACATAAAAGAGTTTTCGTTTGTTTTCTCTGGTATCTCTGATGGTCTTACCTGACTGTCTCTGGGTCTTGCCGCAGCATTGCACTCTCTGTCATCCACTGTGTTACCGTAGTTACCCGACACACACCTTACAGCTCTCATCTGGTAGCCGTGGCCACAGGTTACCGAACACTGAAAAACAAAGGTCACGAACACTCATTGACCCACTGGGATACAGTGGGAGAGAAACGGTCCACCATAGGATATCTTAAATCTCTGCAAACGTACAAATATGTCAAGGCTGATAGCTTAGAAGGAAACTTAGTGAAGGTCTAGTGTAGCAGGGCCTGTGGGGGATCACACACGCATTCACATGAACACACTCAGTGCTAACTCGACCCTCAGCCCTACTTACTTACAGGGGGAATCGAAGCACATCCAGTTGAAAAATAAGAGCAGAGGAAGTGCCACGGGAGAGTTTATTTGAGCAGCAAATTATAATTACACAGGCATTAACAAGCCCATCCTTCCCAGCTCTGAAAATACTGCTGTTGACTTACTCCAAATACACACACATACACACGTGTGTATGTATGTTCACACACACCGTCTATTTTTATATATGATGAGTTCCGTTTGTGCTCCTTCATGTGTTGAAAAAGTTGAATGCACAGGGGAAAAGATTCTGTGTACCTGTGTGTGTATGGGCCATGTATCAGGTTTAGTCTGGCAGGATATGAGGGCAAAGTGAGAGTACCTCTGAGGAAATAGCAGCTGGAGTCAGGGCACACTCCTCTGTAACTCGCTGCTATATTAGGTTACACACACACATACACATACACTCACACACACACAAATCTGAAATACCTCAGTCTCTCCTGTTCTATCTCTGACCACACACACACAATCATCGTAAAAGATATGGGTCAAACTACAGTGCTGCACACAAATACATTTCCCTGCTCAAACACAGAGATAAATACTGCTGTGTGACTCTCTGTCTTATCTTTGTGTGTTTGTGTGTGTCTGCGAGACTGTGTCCTTACCGCTCCCCAGACGCCGACCTGCCATGATGCACACTCAGGTAGCTCGCAGCTCCCCACTGCCTGGGGTTTGCCGGACGGGTCACAGAAGTGCTCACTCAGCTTTTCTTCTCCAGTTCCCATGGTGCAGGACACTTGTCTGTGTCTCATCCCTTTCCCACAGGTCACCAGGCACTGGGTGTGTGGGAGGAGGCAGAGTTGTTTTGGTTTTTTTTTTGGCAAAGTGTGGGAAGCACAATTGGTTTTCCTGTTCACATTCTAGTTCAGAGTTCTACACAATTCTATTATTCTATGATGACATTATTTAATTTCTGTGTAATCAAATGTGATCTGGGGAAAAAAAATCAATTCACTTTTGTTACTTTTGATCAATGGCTGATGTACCAAAAAAAGGTTTTTTCTAAATTTTAAGCATCAAAAGCTCGTAGCTACATAAATACAGGGCAATTAGTTCATTTTTATTTATGTATATGATTTTCTTATTTTTAAGACTTTTTCAGAAATCTATTAGTGCAGTATGTCACTTTTGATCAACAGTTGATGTACCAAAAAAAAATATTTGTGTGTGTGTGTGTGTGTAACATGACCCACCTCGCTCCACTCACTGACGCTCCACTTTGGACACGGCTGCTCGTTGCACGTTTCAGTTACCACCCTCCTATATTCATTGCACTCGCGGTCCATCAGTCGTCGGCCCAGGTTGTTCAGGCAGTAGGATTCTCTGCTACGGCTTCCACGTCCACATGTCTTTGAGCACTGTTCAGCAGAATAAATGGTCGATTTGCAACGGTATGTTCCAAAAACAATTAAGCCATTTATCACCTTTAAATCTTTAACTTGCTATAGGTTTACATTTGTGTTAACTGACAGGATGTCAATCAAAATATGACAATAGAATTGTACTGTATGTGAATGATACAGTATGGAAACCATTATAAATAGGGTCGATATTAACTTTTTGCCGATATCCGATATGCCGATATTGTACAAACAATTTCTGATTCCAAAATCAACTGAGATGGTCGGCCGATATTATCGGACATCCCTAATTATCACCAAGCAGAATTAAATTTTGATCTTCATTTTTTAAAGATATCAGGACAATGTTCAAATCTCAAGATGACAAAAAAATTTGCAGTCCCACATAAAGCGGGTCAACCTAGGTTTTGTCCACAGCTGTATCTAAGCAATGAAGGAAATTGTACCTGTGACCATGCACTGTACTGCCAGTTCTTCAGCAGACAGTCCCCATGGCAGGACTCCCTAGTCTGTGGTTTAACAACATCTCCACACATGCTGGCCTCTGTCCTCTCACTCTGACGCTTCATCCGGCTGTACTTCATACAGTGAACATCAAGACTGCGGAAGCCTGGACCAAATGTGGCTGAACACTTACTCGTTCCAGCCACGTGCCAACTGTGGGTTGGATGCAGAAAAATGTTTGTCATCTCACAGGACTTGACACATGCTAAGTTGTTAATGGCAGGTGTATTTTGACTCACCTGACTTCACAGTCTGTGTTGCAGGGCTCAGCGACAGCAGAAGGACGTGGTAATTGTTCACAGCGTTGATCAGACACTTCCAGGTGGTCACTCTTACGCACACAAACTGACTTCCGCCTCCTCTCACCTGAAGACACAAACGCAGAGCAGAGAAAAAAGACACAATTCAAAACAGGCAACTTTAACCTTCAAAACATTTTATTGTTTCTTGACCTTTGACTGGTCTGACCAACTCTGTGACAGAAGAGGCTTCAGCAGGCAGCCTTAAGGGTCGGTCTTGCGTTCTGAGAATTTAACCTCTTTTCCTACAGTTGATATTTAAGAGCCTTAGTCAGGTTAGAGGTCAAGCTGGTGGATGGAGTCTGCCAGTCACTTTGGGGGGTTTGGAGGGGAAATACAAAGAGTAAGTAAAACATTGAACCTAATGCTGTGGGAAACAAATCATTAAGAAACATTTACTCTAATGTGGTTTAAAAGGGGTTTACTGTGGCCTAGTGTTAAGGAAGCCTGTCACTAAAGGATTGCAGGTTTGACTCCTGGACTCTGCTAATGGTTGGTTTTAAGGCAAGCAACAAGGGAGTGGGTAAAATACATAGGACAAATGCCTTTGTGTGTAATCAATCAGAGTTCAAATGACAAGTCATGATTTTGTACCATATAGTACAGATTTCCCACGTAGAAAAACATTTATTAAAAGATACTGAAAAGTCACGGAAAGTTTTCATTATTTATTTTTATCATTCCTTCCCTCGTTTTGTTTTAATAAAGTGAGGACTTACCATGGCAGATTCGACTGCACTCCAGCCAAGGGCCAGAGGGATCCCACACAAACTGCTCCCTGTGCTCCTCTATAGGTATATTAAAGGAGTAACGGACATCTGGGTTATAAAGGTTCCCCACACACAAGACCTGTGGATAAAAAATGTGGCAGGAAATATACATAAATATATACAGATTAAAAAGACTGCAAAAATTAATTCGAAGAATTTTGAAAAGGTTTTTTAAAAAGGGATTTTTTTTTGCAAAGATTGCAGCTCAGGATTTGGGAAGAGAAGGAAGAAACCAGCAAATTGTCCGGATGGAAATTAAGTATTTACAGAAAAAAAATGCAACTAATCAAGTTAAAATGTCAAAAAAACATCTATAGACCATTACCTGTAGAACGAGCTCCTCTTCAAGCCGCTCGGTGCAGTTGATTCGCTCTACTTTTGTGTCTGAGCCGCTGTACTCAATGACTATTCCCTTGTAGTTGATTTCCCTTTTATACATGGCCACCACAAAGTTCCCGTTCAGGAGGTAGTTGGACTGACTATCAGATAATGCTGGAATTTAAAAGAAAAATGCAGTAATATGACACTCTGTCCCACAAAAAGCAAGCAGTTTTGATCCCGCCATAGCAGAACTGATGTTCGGTCCCCCAAATGTCCTGCACTAATATTTTTCAAAGCTGTCATTGCTGCAGCAACTAAAAAAAAAAGAGCCAGAACTCAGCCAGAAATAAATTGCAGTTATTTAGGGGCCAACATTGCAAAACACAAAATAAACAAATCAAACACACTTGTCAAGCTGATGCATAAACACTTGAAGGAACAAACTTCATCTACCTCAGGCACTGTGGTAAAAACATAATTACAGTCTAAGGAAAGAAAATCATGCAAGTGATTAAAACACTGATGAAAATGTTTACAATAAAAGCACATAGTCCGATGCCAGATGTTACATGGAGCCAAAATGTGGAGACAAACTGGGTGAACCTTGAAATATATAAACACACAGTATATTAACAGAAGTCTGATGCCATTTTATGCCTAATAGGACATATTCTGTGATGATTCCGTCCGTTCCGTGTATATATATAATATAATATAATATAATATATATATATATATATATATATATAGCTCCCATTGAAGACATGGAACTACAACCACAACCCAAATATTTCATACTAAACTGCAGGAGGTTGGGACCTATTAAATGGCTTGTAATGTATCTTTATTGTCCTCAGGAACTGACAGACAGGAACAGACAGCTAAGTGCCATCTGTCCATGTTCTACATGGGCCAAGGAAAAGGTCTCACATTTGCCATAACCAGTAAAATACTAAATACGACAAATGAAAGAGTTAATTATGTTTTCTTTCATTAAACTACTGGAACAAACCCATTCCTGGATGATGACTTGGTATTTTAAATTTGGAGGTATTTTGGTGAAACAAAAACACGTTTCACAAATAGCCTTAGTTGGAAACAATTAGTGGATGGAAAGATTAGATTAACAGCACACATTTTCCTTTTATTTCACAAATGAATTATGGTGATTTAAATATGACTTCCTTTATACATTTTATTTCATACATAGTTTTCTATTTTCCTTATCTTTACAAAAATACTACACAAAAGAAAACTAACACATATAACAAAATAAAAAAAGCATCTCTGAGTTCGCCTGCTATGACCCAGGGTAGTGAAAAATATATCCTGAGACAGGATTTAATACTGACTTCAAAAGTAAATGCTCTTTTTCATGTTTTCAGTGCAACAATTGTCCCAAAATAGTTTTGACATGCTGCCGCAGTTTGCATGATGGAGTTGAAGTCATGGCTGCAAGTATCCTTTATTGCAGGCGGCACCCACGGTGGGAGCCACTGTGGGGGGCATCCTTATAGCAGCAGAGTGGCAGGCTGCCAGATGTCTTTAAAGTCTATTTGACTTAAGACATCTTGAACCTCACTTGAACCACCCTTTAAACGTAACACACAGGCCTGTGTGTGTTTTACTTACCCTCACTTTGTGGGGCTGTCTCTCACGTGCATATACCCACTCTCCGGGCCCAGTGGGTCCATCCAGCTCTACACTCCTATATCTGCTTTCATACGGCCTGGGGCTCCACATGCGTCTAATTAGCACCTACTGCTGCCTCATTTATCTTTCTAAGGGCCTGACAATTCATTTGCTTTCCCAACCAAGCATCTTCATCCACAACCAGATGGGCCCAAAGCCCCAACAAATTTCCACCGTAATACACACAGTACAAATGACAGCCCTCCCCATCACTCCTCCTTTATGAAAACCATTGGGCAAAAGTTGACCCAGAGTCTGTGAAGTGTCTTTAGACTAGAGACTTTAGACTGTTACTAATGTACAAAAATTATGTTAAAAGAATGTATCAGATATGATGATAGATATATATATATATATATATATAAAAGTCGAATTATATTGTTTCAAACACAGAGAGATAAGTGAGCCAGAACTATTGTATTTTTTTCACCACTTCTCATTTGATGCACCCAGATATGTGCTTTTTTTCGGCATCCTTATCATTGACCAAAATGTCCATCATGTCCTCATTATGTTCATGAACGATTTTTCTTTTTTGAGTCCATCAGGGAACAGCAGTTCCATGAAAGAGTGCACACAGGTTCTTATTGGACCATGTTTGATAAATACCGACCACAGCAGACCATTGTCCAAAACATGCTCCGACCTAGTTCTATAACATTACACTCTTGTTACATGTCACTTGTGCTAGTGTATTGGCTAACAGATAAATATATAAAAAATCTGAATCTTTCAATAAAAAGTTAAAACTTAATAAATTGACATAAACACATAAAACACTGTCAAGATACACCTACCGAGGTAGTTGTCATCTTCTGGCTTTCCTGAGTAACTGACTTGCTTGATATCAATGTTAGTAGCTCCTGCTGGGATTCGCACCACTGTGTTGTAGCCTTAAAGAAAATGAAGACATAGAATTAAGTAAACAAATGAGCTACAAATGTGAGAATTTCTATTTAGAACAAATGAAGTCACAGTAAAAGCACTGACAGGTACTAAGTTGGTTTTTTATAACAATGCTAACCCCCGCCCTCCCCCCTCGCCCCCGTGTGAGAAATCCACTTCCTACCTCAAGGGATTTTAAATGTCACACTTGGACAAATACAAAAAGGCTCTAGTCTTCTCAAATAACCTGCGGGAGGCCTTGTTTTAGTCTCAGAAGCCCGAGCATGAAATGATATGTAATTATTTCCGAGACCTGCCTTTGCCCTGTAATTACTACACCGTTCCTGTTGTACCATGATAAACTAACACACCAAATGAAAGAGCAGAGGTGAGAGAAAGAAAACACCAGACTAAAGAGCTGACATCAAAAATAATGATGGGAACTACAAGGGAGAAAATATTGTAATAAAATTTAACATCAGTGCAGTGCTGTTTGTAATCACATTAATCAGGAGGTTGAACATACTAAGATGAATGGGGAAAAAATGTAAGTAATTGCAAGAAATAAAGCATTTCATCCAAAAAATGTAACTTTGTCCAGTCAGCAATTAGTATTTTTTTTGTCGCATTTTGAGAAATAAAAAGGTTTTTTTTTCACAGTATTGGTGTTTGATACAAAGGTGACCATTTTTTATATGATATGGTATTAATGTTATATAATGGCTTAAGGATTTAAGGGGTAACAGTATTTATATAATAATATCACTGTTGTGATATTAGTTTGACACTTTGAACCACTCGGGGGCAGCACTTGGTTTATACATCTTCCTCTAATCAACCCCCTTTTTCTATTTTTAGATCACACTGTACATCAAGAGATTCATTTCATTCATCACCACTGACAAACAAAATTATTTTGACAATCTCTCTCTTCACTTTAAGGTTCCGCTTTTACTGTTGTCACGTCACACTCTCTCCCTAACCGTTGCGGACAGGATAAGCTTCTTAACATTTGGGGTGTGGGAACATCAGTAGCCACCAACAGAGTTCCCCCTCTGAGGAAACATAGTACGCACAAGGGCTCCTCCAGACTCCCCAACTTAGCTACTGACCATCACACAACCCACCCTCCAGCCCTCACCATGGCAAAGTGATTCAGAAAGGAACAGTAAACATACCATGGTGTGGGGTGGGGTGTTAACTACAACCAAGCTTTACTTAAGGAATACTCAGGTTAACCTCAAACAAAGTTATTTCCACCATTAACAGGAACAAAGATGAGCCAGTATTTTTATCCTCTGGAGCAAAAAAAAATGTAGTCGTCATCCCTGAGCTTGTTGAGGCTAAAGATTAGAGGAGATGCAGAAATAGTATAATAATAGGACTCACGCTTTAAGAGAAAAGGTTATGAGTTCAATCTCTGAAACGAAACACTCAGTTTGACTGAATTAACTTGAATGAACTTGAGTTTCAATGTGGTTTTGAAAGTTTTGTACAAAGTTTTGTACAATTATCTGTTATGATCTATTTACTAACAACTACAAAACAGAAGTGAATGAATCATTTTCCATTTATTGTCACCTTCTGTGACCCATAACAATGTGAGTGTACTTTTAGGTAATCTGTAATTACCTTTATAGAAATCATAATGTACAACAGAGATAAAATACCAGGTTATAGGTAACTATTACAACGTTAAGAAGCCAATGTCCCAAAGTAGAAACAGTGCAACACAACTGGTCCTTGGATTTATGCTTATATAGACAATTAGAAAATACATTCACACTAACTTGTGAAACACACATTTTAATACGTGTTTAGTACGTTTCTTTTTCTCAGAGTCCAAATTCTTGCATATTGGGGATTAGGTTAATTGTTCACTCTAAACTGACGGTGGATTAAAGGGAGTGTGAATGGTTGTTTGTCACTATCCTGTGGGTGCAATTGACTGGAAAACTGTCCCCTGTGCATACCACAGCACTTATTCAATGACCTGCTCTGGGATTGGCTACAGGCCCCCTCTCCTCTCAACCCCCACCACTCTGTGTGGGATTAAGCTGTAGTAAAAATGAATCAATGTACGTAGAGTATATGGCAGCTTTCTCACTTTAACATGTGTATTACACTATATTATATTGACTGAAAAATGATGTCCTTCACCACCTGTATTATTACAGGTGCACCACAATAATAAAGATAAATTATTAAATTGAAAAAAAAAATCACAGACTTAAATTGACTTTACATTCATTTGTTTAGTCTGATGAGGATAAAAAAAAAATCAAGGTATATACAAGATAACAAATGAAACAAGAGTACAAACAACAGAGAAAGACAAAATGCTTAAAGTGTGGAGTGGAGAATACAATTGCAGAGCAGAGGGATATCATGTGTTCTGTTTCTCAAGGTAAAGCCAGATTATCAGGACTGAAGATTGGCTAAAACCATATCTCTCAACATGGATCGAAAACTCATGGATAAAGATGCTCTGGCTTAACGACAAATTAATGTGAGGTAAGGATAATAGAAGCCACACTCTGGGCTTTTATGCTAATGTAGCTGTTGTTTTACTGCCCAGAACATTAAAAGAATTTGATGTAATCAGCACTTGGCAACACTGCAAAAGATTCTCAACAACCGGCTATGCAAATTTTTCATTTTTCTTTTAATCATTTGCTGGGCCTTTAGAGAAGTCCTACACACTGCAACTTTACAGTCAAGGCAGGGACTTGTACTATTGCTGAATTATGTTTCAATATGACATCACTGACTAATGTGAGTATAACGCATGTCAGTGTTTAAAGCCATGTGGAACTACTTTCTGACCCTATACCACTGTTTGCTGTGCATCATATAACTACAAACTAATCTGTAGAAGCAGCCAACGTACAGCCGTTCTAATAGCAACACTTTATTAAGACGTGTCTGTTTTTCTTATGCATGTATAATTTGAGCAGCAGGACTTACCATACTGTGCATCGTTGAAAGTCCCTGCCAGGGTTTTACATGATGAGTTGTCCCCACCACACACACCACACTTGTCATTTCTGGCCTTTGAGTTGAGGACGTGGTCACAACCTGCTTGCTGAAAACACAGAAAAAAAACAGAAATTTACTTTGTTTCTAGAATGGCCTAAAATTAGAACCTAGGTAGAAACTTTCTCATCAATTTGGACTATTTACACTACCTTCAGTTGTGGTGAAATTTGGCAGTGAAAAAAAAAAACAGTGTAAATGTGGCCTTGAATTTATGCATATTCATCTGAGAGAAATTTTCTCACAGACCATTGTAATCTTGTATTGTAAATTCAAATTTAATGAGGAAATGGTCAGAGATTAGCAGACAGTGGGGAAACAATTATTTGGCAGTGATGAATGACTAACCAGATTGGGCAGGGGCAGAGAGAATAACAGTGTCCGACATAGTTTTGGCCTAGTTACACACCTACTCGACGTGGATAGTAACTTTCGTGAATTTAAGTTAAGACTTGCTAGACGTTTCAAATTGGACTCGATGCAGCCCGGAATAAACCCAACGATGATCTTTGGTGCCGCTATTTTTACGTTTCGAGGAAAAGAATCGCAAAATACCAGCGGGTGTGTCGCTGAGTGGAGAATATATATATGTATAAATAAATAAATATATATAAAAACGTCGTTTTTGTAAATAAATAAATATATATAAAAACGTCGGCCTTGTTTTAGGACTACGCTTCTTACAGTCAGCCCCCCTGACTGCGGGGGGTGAAGCTATGGAACTCACCAATGTCCGGCTAGCACCGGCTAATGGGGGGCTAGCTAACTACTTTCGCTAAACTTTGGGGTTTTAAGTTGCGACGCCGGGGCTCACATTCGCTCAACTTCACCTAAATGACCACAATCAAACTACATTTATGTATTACAGGTACCATTATCGCTAGAAAAAAAAAGACAGAATAGTGACTAAACAGTTACCACACGGAGCAAGAGAGGGACAACAATGTAAGGGGTGTTAGTTAAAACAGCAAAATAAAAGTAATATAGCAGGTAGTGACCTAAAGCAGGGGAGTAATCACTAAAGCTGTACATGTATACAGTGAAATTAATGTCTCAGTAGTCAATTTTATGGAGCAATAGCGAACGCTGCGTACACCGACACCAGCAGCACAGGAAATGACGTAGTTACCAGAGGAAGTGGACGGAGTGACGTAGCGAAATACAAACAAATACTTCCACCAAAATATAAAAAATCCAAATCAGTAAATGTTTCCCATTGCATCACAATTTAAAAAAAATAATGAAATCTATATGACCTGTTGTAATAACTCAGACACAGAGCACAGAGCCAGTCCCCCTACTTTAGTAATCACTAAGCTAATTAAATAAATAAATATGGCAAGTCAAGACAAACAAAAAATGGATTTACAGAAATGATATTTCTACCACTTAAATTGTCTTAAATTAATTTGTTTTTAGTCTAATACATCTGTTAGCATCATTACTTTTTTTGGCTTTTTCCTCTGCCTTTTAAAAGCAAAACATGTTCCCACTACCTGGGAGGCAGACTGAGTGTGTGTCTGTGTGCAAATTTCCATGTCACAAGTAGAAAGAAAACTGATATACCCTGCAGAGGCCTTGAACACAGATGTCGTAAGTGTCTGGGCCACATGGTGTACCATCAATGACGCGGTCCTTCAGCTGATAATATGCCATTGTCCCGGCGACCCGGCAGAAAAGCTTACAGCGATCCTTCATCAAAACTACATGGGCAAAAAAAAAAAGATTGTGGAAAATATTGTGGAGCCAAAGGCTTACTTCTTTAATAAGATAGATGAAAATAAAAACACTGAACAATAACAAGATGAAAAGCCTGGAGATTATTTACAACCCCCTCACCCCCGGCTAAACAAAGTAAAATGTAACTTTTCTGGGTTTTTTTATCTTAAACGTATGTACTTTCTTCAGACTCTTCTTCAAATTGACAAAACTGGCTGAGTTTGTTGGTAACAGAGTCATGATGTGCTGGCTTTGGGGTTCAATCTGTTTTTTCCCCTTGTATAGAACCAATTAAGTAAAAGAATCAATTGCAGTGACTTAGACATGGTGGTCTCAGCCAGATGGTAATCTCATGTGGCTGCGCAAGCCATCCTGGCAAGGAATGAGATACGGCTAGGGACTGTTGCCAGAAGGGCTCATATGGAAAGGATGTACACTGCTTTATGAACAGTCTCCTTTAGTATTGACTGAAGTTTTACACCAGGGTGACTCTAATCATCTAGTCTTTTAGATAAACACACAAATACACACATAGACATGCTTTTATCTATCTGCCAGAAAACACATTTTAATCTATCTCTCTGCCTCACACTGACATATTATGTTTTGAATGTTGGTTGTCCTTAGCATAGCAACCCAAGCTTTGTCAAGCAGTACTAGATAAGAGTTCTTACTTCCACTGTACTTGGGTACCCAGCGCACAGAGGGAGGAAGACCGTTGATGTTGAAGTGTTTGCCATCAAACTGGGAGCACTGCTCATCTCGGAAATCTTTCTTTCCTCGTGGACATGGTTCAGTGTTGCAGGAGCGGAACTTCATCCTACGGCCCACGCAGAACTTCCCTCCATTCCTGGGTCTGTAATAAGAAAAGAGCAGCACCAGATTTGTTCATTGAGGCCTTTTGCTTTTTGGTAATGATTTGCAACTGCAGAGATGATCCTGGGATCTTTTTTAATTTTGGTCAGCCAGATCACCATAAATGTGCAATGTTTCCTCCTTACTCTGGTTTGTTGCAGTCCCTGCTTGTGCTCCGGGTTCCTCCACCACAGGACCTGGAACAAACACTGTAAGGACCCCAAGGACCCCACTCGCCGTGAACTGGCTGCAGGTCCAACTCTTTGTTCACACACATTCCATGTCTGCAATACTAAATGAGAATGGACACAACAAAAAAAAACAGAGACAAAGATTGAGAAAATGGAAGAAAACTTGAAAGAAAAAAAGAAACGACTGCAACACCTGCGTCTTGCTAACTGGAGTGACGGAGCTCGATTGCAGGTCTAAAGCCTGCACAGCTGGGAGTGTTGTTCATATTTGCCTTCTTAATCCGTACTTTAGATCTAAAGCTACAATTTTAAAGAAATCCAGATCCAGCTTATTGTTTGCCCTTAGGGAATGTGTCCAACTACTCCAGCTGTCAAAAGAGTAATGGAAGCACAAGCAGGAGACACAGATACAAACAGAGAGGGGGGAAAATATGTGTACAAGACATTTTTACTGTATAACTAACTTTATATGGATAGAATGAATCCAATCAGGACATTTGTTTAAATTACATGACATCGCAAAATACAAAAAAAAAATCAAATTTCTTACAGCTTTAGTAATAATGAAAATATCAACAGCAAAGTTGCAGCTCATGAAAGCAATTTTTTTCAGGGAAAACAAATTCAGACACAATTTCAAACAGGAAAGATTTATCTTCCTATCAAAGTTTGTACTCAATAACCAACGTTTTTTTTTAATAAATGCTAACAGTGCTATCATGAGACCATTCCCCTTTTTGTGTAACCAAATCCTCCTCCAATTGCCTAAGATATCACAAGGTCCTGTTCACTAAAAGAATGTGGGACCAGACGGCGTCTGTCTGGGTACATAACCTGCCGACCAGGCAAACAGGCACGAGGAAGCAGTGGCACCATGATAAGGAAACTCTAGAGTTGTGATAAGAAGAGGAGCAAAGTTTATTACTGGCTTGAACTCCTTCTTGTCTGTGGTACCACTAAAGTATTACAGTTGTATTCCAATTTTGTTGTTGTTGTTGTAAGGTTTACCCCAGAAAAAGTGGTAAATACAGTGGAATTAACTGCCTACTACAAGGGATTCAAAAACATATGAATCATATTTCCATTGTAATTTAGATTCCAAATACTGCCCTCTGCTTTAACTTATTTACTTGTATGTAGCTTAACCTTAAGGAATATATTTTTTAGTAAGAATCACTAAATATTCTCTCCGTGGGTCATTTGAATGTGTTGACACTGAAAACAATGCCTTACAATTCTATACACCCAGTGGTCAGTCTGTGTCAATACTTAAATATATTAGTTTTTCTTCAAGGAAAAAAAACACTACTTTCAGCAAATATGTGCAAAAGTCCAATGACATACAAAACCACATCCTCAAATACATTACCCAAGAGTAGTTTTCATGTGTGTTTTACATTTTTTCAAGGCTAATAATGGAGTGTAGTGTGTGGAAAATGACAGACACAAAAGTTAACAGCAGGTAGTACAGTCTAAACAAGTCACAGACCCTAGTCCATAACCCAAACCTGGGTTGAGGTGGTGCGTACATGAATATGAGGTGACTTAAAACTGTGTCAGAGTAAAAAGGATTAATTCAGTGAATATTTAAAATTAAAATTACCATAGGAAGAGAAAAAACTAAAATATGTTTCTCTGCAAGTTAATCCATAAAACAAAGCTAAAGAATTTGAGTTCATGAAAAAGATAAAAAAAACAAAATATTTTCCTTTTCTGCATCCACTGCACTTCAGGGATTTACACCCCAGACCTAAGCACCCCCCCGCCCCTTTTTTTTACTTTCTCTTCAATGCCACCCATCCCCCTTATCCCTGTATGGGAAATTGGAAAGGCCATGAAGGGACCACCGCAGTGCAACAAGGAGGCGGGACCAAGGGAGCTGTCAAACACAGGGTGGACTGTCTGTCAGAGAAGACCAAAGTCCGTGTAAGCCTCAGAGGCATTCCACTCCCCCCGCTGGCACCCTGTGTTTACAACCGTTTTGTTTGGCTTGAAAAGGTGATGTGGGTGAAAAGAGAAAAAAAAAAGGAAAAGAGGAGTGTAAGGGAAAAAAAAACATCTGCTTGAAATGATTGTATGTGCACGTGAGAGTGCGTCAGTGTGAGCAAGGTTGTGTATGTGTTTGAATGTGTGTTAAGTGTAAAATAAATGGCTCTGCATCTGGACGCATCTGCAGCCCATGCTTATTTCCAATTAGTCCTCTCACAAAATGCACGAACAGGCATCCTTTAAAAACTCTGAAGTAGAAAGCAGTCTCAGTGAAGTGTGAGAAGAAAAAAAAAAAGCAATCGACAGACACGTTCCTGGAGAGATTGTCAAATTTTGCTCTAACTTGAGAATGTGGTGAGACCTTTAATGCGCTTGTGAGAGAAACCTGCCCAAGCTGTGACCAGCCTGTGTTTCAAATTAGGAATTTCACAAAGGCACATGTTGAGTCAACAACATGTGCTGAAATGTAGGAAGCATACGATAAAGTCACATGCACTGCAAATAAACAGGCTAGGATTTATGAAAACATAAGGCACAAAAAACAGGAGACGTTAACTTCCCCTTTTCTCCGTCTTCCACCTCCTCTCCACCCTCCAGTTGCACAATCACGACTCCTTGGCACAGGTAAAGATGAATGAAATTGCCTTTCCTATTTAGAGCTTTATTCTTTATTCAGTTGTGTATATCTTTTTTTGTTATATCTAATGATTTTCATTGGTTTCATGTATGAACTTTTGTACACAAAATACTGTTGTACGGATGAATTAATCCATTTCACATAAACTCCTATGGGGAAAATTATTTTCGATTTTGATTCAGGAATGGACTTCAGGAACGAATTAAGTTAAAAAACAGAGGTTCTACTGTAAACATTTCCTCTGTAAAATTAAAAATTAAAAGCTGACATTTAAGTTTAAAAATAAATGCAGGCTATAAGTATATGTAAATATAAAAATATTAATTCATGGAATAATCTGTTAAACCACTAACATCTTTAGTGTAACCTCATATTAGGATATTACCTCACAGGTCACACTTATTAAAGAGGCTGCTACGTTTCAAATGGGATGAGAAGTAATCCATGCATACATTGACACATACATACAGCCACAGAGAGGAGCAACCAGCAAACCTTCTCTGACAGCCAAGAGAAAACAGTGGCATCTGCTCTGAGCTCTTCAGCTGGCTGATCTAGGAGTGAGAACCCTGTAATTGCCAGGAAACTCTTGCAAGGAGAGCACCTCATTTTTGAACCCAAGTCATACATCACTTCAGGAATGAGAAGGCAAAGGACTTGTTTTAAAAGCCCTTTCATTTTGACACAGCTAGTTCTAAAAGGCATCATCCTTCATGTTTCCTTGTCTTTCTCATGGTTTTGGGTTCTGGACTTTACCTCATTTTCCTGTTGAGGATGAGCCTCCATGCTGTGTAAGACATGTTTTAATGTTATTATTGAAAAACAAATCTCATATAAGAAACAGGAGTATGGATCACTGCTGTTATTCCTCCCAAATGGTCAGACGGTAGTGAGAGATTTATTAAAGAGAACTCTCTGGGTTTATAAGCGACAGGAAATTAGTCTCATAAAAACAACAAAAGAACTGTTCTACACTGGTTCATTGTTCCTTTTTTTGCAGAATCCATATTTCATTCCTTACTGTGCCAAATGGATGTCAAGACAGGAGAGGAAATGATTAAAGGGTGCCGGAATATGGTGAGAAAAAGTGTCAGCATGATGCAACCGCGACCCCAACAAACCTCTCATTCAGCACACCTCTGTGCTTCGTGAGACCCCTCCCCACTCACACCTCTCCTCACGTTTCCTAGGATTGTCAGGGTTGTTATTAAAGTGAATGAGTAGTTTTTGTCCCATCAGCTGTTCCGCACAGACACTTTTACTACTCCTCTTTCACACATCTTTCATCATCTCTGTACAACCACTGACAACACATATAATTTGTCAATGTGGCAATCTTTCATATTCCGACTGTTCATTCATATAGTTGAGTTCACAGCAAGAGACTTTTCATATCAGTATTTATTGGCTTTCAAATTTGGTTTAAGCTGTGAAGTTAATTTGACACATGCTTAAAGACCACGGCCAAGGAAACAAAGGCTTTTTTAGAATAATATAATTCTTTCTGTCCTTTGGGTTTGTGATTTTCAAAACTGTACCCATACTGTCCTAAAAAACATCTGGAAATAAAGACTGAGATTATAGTATTGTCAAGAAAACTGTTGTTTGTCTGTCGCTTCAAATCAATGGAGTTCACACATTATTCCATACAAGACGAGGTATTAATGTTGAGTTTTGGATGTGTTTAGGAATGAATATCATGTATTTTTGAAAAGTGACAAAAATGAACTGAGTTTCTTGATGCTTGATCTAAAAGAAACTTGGATGTTAATGAAAAATGTAAAGGTCAAGATGCTTTTTTTAACAACAGTAGTGGGTAGTATCTCGAATATTTCGATGCATCTGATTGATTCAAATGTATGTTTCCATTAAGTTCTGACATAATGGTAAATAAATAACCACATTACCCATTTTGAACAAGGTAAGCAATGAAAACTCCATCAGCAGAGGATGCAAAGACAAAGACAACAACTCTCTTGTTCTACCACTTTACTGATGATGATGTTAAATATCTTTAGTAACGTCCGACAAGAGAGATTAGCTGACAACGACATCAATGCCTCGTCACAGTCCTCAGCACCGATGTGTGGATGTGCACAAACACATACACACAAACAAATCCTCCATCCAAGCATCTTACAACAAGTCTGTCAGGATGCCAGTGAGCTCAGGCCGCCTCTGCCAGCAGACTCCATTCTGCCTTGGCTTCACTTTCCAGGACCTTACTGTCTCACTCTAATTGGCAGAAACCAGAGCAGGTTGTTGTTTTTTTCTGAGGAATGTCCTGGGAAATAAAAACATATTCACCTAACCACTTAATTAGGTCCCAATTAAAACGTATCTGGAAAAGCTTTTTGAGCTTTGGACGTATTCTTTGAAAAAAACACCAGCCAGTAAACAGCCATTGTACTGGGACGACAGACTTTCGCAACAACACGTGAAGATTGTGCTAAGACGTTTCTAAAGTTGACTATAAATGAGCATAACCCCCCAAAAAACACCACCATTTATTCTAGCTCTGTCAACTCCTTTTCTGTCCACCGCTCACTGAGCGATGACGTAGGAGGTCAAGCAGTGAAGGAGCATCAAGGGGTGGAGATGTGGATGTGGTGCCAAGTGGGCCCCGACTGGAGCTTCAAGGAGAAGGCCCCTAACGCGTACACATCTGCATTTGCATGTAAATGTTAGGTAATACACACAAGAGCTCGGGCATGCACGTGACTGTACAGTACAGTCGGTGGAAACACACTACGAGTGGAGAGGTGAGAACCTTTTGATGAGTGTGACAGAGGAGGAGAAGGAAAGGAGAGGATAAAAGGGAGGGAGGGCGATGGCAGTATTAATAGACAGCAAGTGATGGGATGCCCTCGTTAGTGCATGGCCCACTGAGCTAGATGACATACGCCGCCAAGAGGTCATGTGACTGCTTTAGAGTCGGAGGCCTCTCAGAGGGTACGTTGAGTAACACAGGGATAAATGTGGGAGAAAAAAACCTAAATACAAACTCCCCAGTTAACATAGTAACATATTTGACATATCTAGACATCCATCTTGAAGGTAGATTCATGCAGGGTGGCTTCGTGAAAAGACCTCCCATAACATCGTATTTCTAACATGTGATGTCAGAATTGCAAAAAATATAACAGTAGGTAAAGTGGGTAGGAGGGGCAAAAATATATGTAAAAAAGGCCACCCAGATCCTAAGTAGTTAATGTGCCTCTGAAATGGGATGTCAGCAGTTTGAAACCCTGACTATGTCATTAAAAAGATGCCAGAACAATGGCACCTAGGGGCTGTGCAGGGGAGGTACCCGGAGGAGAACAAGTGTCCAATTCCGGGGAATAATCCTAGCTGCTTCCTGTGGTGATGAAGATAAGAAACTATAGATCCACGAGATGCTCTTTTATTTAGTGCATAAACCTTGTGGTACAAACAACTATCTCTAGATGTTCCTCATAGAGGCAACACATGCAACCAAACAGATATAGATACACACAACAATGGGACTTTGACACGAAAGAATGAAAAGGAATTCTCTGGTCGTAGAGATTACCTGATTTTTGAGACAGGCATGATAATAAAAAAAAAAAACACTGCCGACACACACACCACATTAAAGCCCTCTTGTATGGGCAGGTGAGCGCCAGTGCAGGGTCCTCAGCTCTTTCAACTCACCCTACTTCAAACGGTCTCCTGCATGAAGATGAAACTAGGGCCTCATCACTACAAACAAAGGCGGTGCCGCTCCTCACACACAAAGAAATGAAAAAAAAAAAGGTTTGCGTATTTGATCAGACAGACAACAACCACTACTAAAGAATTATGATATAGCCTGTCAGTGATACAGGCTATAGCATCGCAAACATACTGAGTGGAAAATACATGTAACTACATTGAGAATTTTACAGCAAAGAGACATCGAGTCAAAAAAGCACGACTGCAGTTCAAGGATCAAGAAATGACGGAACATTTGTTACAGAATCCACTTTTAAGACAATTCGGAGTTGGTTTAAATCCGGATGTCTAGACCGCTTTGGAGCCGGAAATTACCACAAGTGTTTACAGGGTTCCGAGGAGCAGCCATCCATGGTGAAGGAGCTCAGTCAGCTTGAGCTGGGTTAAAAGTTTGTAGCCCCTTAAAGCAAAACCACTTGCTGTAATTAAACTTGCGACATGTTTCCTCAACACTTTTTCCCACGCACACGCTGAGAGCTGTATGGGAACTCCAATCCCGGGACTATAACTCTTTAATCTGGTTGTTATAGTTGGATTAAAACGTTAGCTATCACCTGTTAACCTCTTCACAGTTGACAAGGCAGATTCAGGACCTAACTTGCTAATGGAAGCAGGATTTATGGGGAGGAGACTTGAAGATGAAGCCCCTAAGGACTTCTGAAGGCCAAGGGTTAAGGAGACAAGGACCATCCTTCTCATTCTCTCTCTCCCTCTTCCTCTCTTTTATGCATGTTCCAAATGTTAACAACCAGTACACCACATCCTCATCGCCCTGCACCTCCTCCTTACTCTCCTTTCCCCTCCTCTCCTCCTACTCTTCAGAATCACTGATGTGCTGTCCTTTGTGAAATCGTTGGCTGGCTTCAGCCGGGGCTCTGTTACAGCCTGACCACTGACCCACTCACCCAGCATTTAAAGAGGTTTAAGGGTCATGGGTTCACAACAAGGTGACTCAACTGCGAACGACGGGTGGCGTCCGCTTTCAAAGAGTCTACGTCTTCACCTTTCCCTCTCAAGAATCTCTCTCCCTCTTTCTGCCCCTCTCTGTCTTTCTTTACCCTTACCCTCTTTCTTTTTCTGCCCCTCCCCTTCGGCCCTTCTATCCTCGTATCTTCAGAGCCTGACCCTCAGTCTGAGCCCTAATTAGCATAGCATCCCAAAGTGAGGAGAACATGAAGGCTAATGGGGGTTGGGGCCCTGAAACAACACTGAGGGTAAAGCTTCAAGTTTCTGACTCAGGCCACCACCTGACACATTTACTAGGGTCTTCAACAACTATAAAGAAACCAAGCAATTCATGATACATGTATTTTTTTCACAGTGTTAATTTAAAATATGTGATAAGTTATGCTGCCTGGGAAGGCTTTTTGTATATATTCAGTTTCCTCTGCAGATGTTAACCAACTTCTGATTAGGGAAAAGAACGTCTGTGTTCATTTCTTATCGGCCTGATTTTCTCTCTTTATTCCACTGCCCACAATAACATTTGGCTGCGTTCACTTCACTCATCCACCTTCACTGTCTTAACGCTCTAAAACTCTACCTTTTAAACCGCCACCTCTTGATCAACTCAAATCATTACAGATTTCACATGTATATATAAAGAAATGCATGTAAATAATACAGGACTAAGGATGCTCTATGGATTCTGAAATATTTTTTTCCCCAACACACAGCCCACAATTAACCCTGTTTGAATCATACGTAGACAAATTTAAGCAATACTAAATGACCAATATTATTTATTTTATCATTTTTTAAATAAATATTTTTTTTTCTTTTACCATTCCATGTCCACAGTCTGTTCCGTCAGCCAATGGCATGTGCTGTGTACGGCATCCTTTGTGGTCTCCTTCTGCACTGGTACACCAGAGCCTTTTACACTGTTTCTGTGGTGAAATGAAAGTCACATCAGTGATAAAGCACGAGTACAATATGACATTTTTAAACCTGTTAAACCACAGAGTAGGGCATCTGCTGGTTGGACAGCGTTACTACTGTGTTCCAATGTATATCATCATATCATCGACATATAAATTATGACGTAAATACAGATGTTTCCGTATCAGTAGCTAGGAAGTGATCGTTTGTTGTGTTTATTGGTTTCCAGATGTGTAAGATTCACATCAAAGGCTCCACAAGCAGACTGTAATTAAAGACAGTACAAGCAACGACAGGCTGAGTTCATTTGCTTTTGTATTGTGTTCAATTGTACTGTTTACACACTTACAGTGTGCTGTACTAACTTTGTTACAATGGGAAGTGTTTATATCAACACACAGGAAGTTATTTTTTCCCCTCAACAACATGGAGTACTGGTTTACTTTTGTTTTCCAATATTTGTACTGTGCCTTCCTCTTTGGTCAGTGTATGGACTTTGGTACTGTTTCAAAATTTAAGTTTAATCTCCTTAATTTCAATAATATTATTACATGTTATTATTTTTCATAATTTATTCTGCACATTTTAAACAATTCATATATTTCTTTTGTTTGATTTGAAATGCTTTTCCACCTGTTTCCAGTGGAAGAATTTTGCCTCCTTTCCAATCCACTTACCATGTACGGGCAGATTTGAGAGCCAGGTCCAAACATCAGTTCACACTGTCTGTTGGCATTGTAGATTTGACCAGGCAGGAGCGTGGACAACTCGTATGTCCTGCTTACAGGCTCGTCGAGAAGACATTCACCGTAGCCAGTGCTAGAAATATGCAAAAGTGCAGAAAAATAATAAAAAATTCACATAACCATAAAAGTCAGTATACAAACTTACAATAAGTCAACATACACACAAATTTGAACCAGTGAGCCCTGGAGGTATCACACATGTCATTGTTCTTTTTTATACAGTAGGAACAACGTAATAATGAGAATGTTATTGTCTGTGACCGTCCTGTGATGTGTTCTCCTCCGTGGGTGGTCTGACAAGGTACCAGACGGAGACACTGACTCCACTTCCTGTTCCACTAACACTGTAGGGTTTCATGCTATGGACGTGGTGTCAGGTGAAATAAAACACTCTCCCAATACAGACTGAGAAGAAAAGACTGAGATTTCTCTGTGAAAATGTGAGGCACCTTGATTAAGTTACAAACTGCAGCCAGAGACGGCAGTAGAGCGTCACGAATGTGCCGTAAATCATGTACACGTTGACACGGTCACAGAGGCATCAACAGCACAGCGGGGCTTGAGTAAGCCTTTTCTACTGTAAAGAGACACTGGGTAAACACACGAGCTGAGCCTCACATGATCTGTTCTTTCCTATTTGCTTTAGGAAAAGGAAACTAACAGATGCGGCAGCTATAGATGTGTCTGAACACATGTCTGCACCTCACAGAAAACCCTCATCCTGGACTGAGCCGCTCACAGCACCTGTTCCTGAAGCACCGCCTGATGTGTCAGACCAATAATTACACAGGATTACCCTCTGTTACAGTCACTTTGTTTCTCGTAGCCTTTCAGTTCCAGGCATGATATAACAGTGTGAGGCTGCAGGAGGATGACTTCACAGCAAAGATAAATCAGCAGCAGTATATATACTGTATACACACACAGACACCTGACAGCCTTGTATTAGAATGTCTTTCAACAGTCAGTCATCTTTCCCATCAGCATCCAAGAACTTAGTTGAAGGATCATTAGGACCAGGACTGAGAGCAGAGAGGATGTGATCTCTGTGGACTCTTTTCTTCTTTTAAATCTCTTCTTGTCTTCTTCTCACTCTAGTACCATCTAAGATTCCACACCTGGTAGACCAGTGTTTCCTAAACTTTTTTTTCTGGGGATATTGGGGGTATTTTAAAAGTCACAAACCTTCGCAACCCAAGTCAATAGACATTATTCGTAAACTCCTGGGAGACATGATGCAAAACGACCCAAAAAAAAAAACTCTTGCGACCCACCTGAGGGTCGCGACCCAGTCTTTGGGAAACAATGTGGTAGACTATGGGATATTCAAATGAATACTAATTTACAGTCGGTTGTTAAATAAATAAAAAAACTCGCCTCATATGTTGAAAAGTAATAGTTGCAGACAACATCTAGCGGCTGGCTAAAAAAATTGCTTTAGCATTACTTTTATATTTGTATTTTGGGACTTAGAGGAAACAGCACAGAGCCAGAGAATGGAATGAATGGCTGCTTTATGTAATGCTTAGAGCATAATGACACTGAACCACAGCAGGACACTTTTCATCATCCTTCAGGTGCAAGAGTTGAATGGCCATTATTACGGCAGTGAGATAAAGGGGAGGAGGACGAGCGGAGTCCTTATTTGTTCTTTTTGTATAGGAGGAGAGGGGTGCAGATTGAATTCTCTCTTCGGGGAGAATGAGCTGTCAAAACAGTGACGCACTTGACCAGGTCGGCCCACTGAGCAGGAGTAGTATTGTACAAGTGCTAGTTTGAATCAATGCCTGTCATTGTTGACTGGAGATGAACTTCAAAAGCACTTCGACCACAGTCTCAAGGGCCTTTCCCACCGCTGTGAGCCAAGTGCTGCTCCACTCTGTCTATACCTGCATTGTTGGATTGAATATGCCATAAATTTAATCAATCTTAAGCCTCCTCAAAAACGCATTTGACATTTCCATGATGCCCTCACTGGGTTTCATGCTGACACCACACACAAACTCAACAGAGCCAGTCTTGATAATGGAGACATTCATCAAGTTTCTCCTCACATTTGCTGTGTTCCAACTACTCAATGCTGAAGTCATCACAGGCTGGAAACTATGTCAAGCACAACCTAGGCTGTCTATAAGAAGCACTGGCCAACACTGAGGCCTGAGGATGCATCTGGACCACAAGGACTTTCTTTGTAGATACCTCACAATTGATAGTGGAGAGATTACAGGGTCATGTCAAAGGACGATCTAATTATAAGGTACATTTCCCATTTTAGAAGTCATTCTTCTCCAGGATCAGTAACCATGGTGCAGGTGAAGAGTAGGTGAATATTCTAGTCCTCAAAGCTGACTAGTGCCTAGATTAGTATTTACCCTTAGCATCTTAAGAACAAGCTCTGTGTCTCTGCAGAACGACAGCTTGGAGGCTGCTGAAGATCTATCGTTCAGGTCAGCTGAGGAAGACCCCCAGATTCAAACAGGAAATACTCTTTCAACACTAGGCAATAACAACCTCACATAGTTTACATTGCATTGACCTGTCCACAGAGCACTGAGAGGGTTGTAGAGTAAGTTTGTTTAGCTGGCCGTTTCAAAACAAGTTAGTGAAATCAAACTTGAAAAACAAAAAAGTACAGCCGGGGTTTACTCACTCTAAGAAGTCTGTGATGTACTTTCGGCTGCACTTAGACCACGTCCAGGGATTAGTATCATAGTTGAGAGTGGGAGCCATAACGTGGTACTGGTGCTTCGTCCCTGCCTCACGGCATTTGGGGTTATCGTCGTGCGGCATGTTGAATCTGATGCAGAGAGGGGGAGAAGAAACGGGTGAAGGGGGGTCAAAGACATGGAGAGGGATATAAGGAACACACACAGAGTGATTATCGGCTGCTTAATGGCTCAGTCATAGTAAGGGGGATAAATGTCACAAGATTTTCACTCAGTCATCCTCTAACAGTGGTTCCCCTCCCCAGCCCCCGGCCCCCACCTCATCTCTGCCGGATGCCTCACAAGGATGTGGCCACAAGCACAACAGTGGAGAAAAAGAGATCTCCTTTTTGCACCTTACCTACATTCGTCTACAAATATTTATACAGTAAAATCCCACTAACCATCAGCTGGTTTGTGACATTTTGTGTGAAACATTGCTTTTTTTTTTAAAATCATAACTTCTTCCTAATTGCCTCTTGCTCATCACTTAGATGTCAACGGTCAACATCTCACATTCTCGGCAGGCTTAATCCTGAGGTCAAAGCGGGGGCGATAACACCGACAGAATCCATGCACACATGAACCGTCTTTTATGTTCAGACGAAAATAGTCGCAACTAACGATTTTTCTAATTACTGCCTGAAATTGGAGGCACCCACCGTAATTGGTTATATAATCGTGGTCGCTTCAGATTTGATGAACTATGGAACAAACGCAGTGAACCCAGCACGGCATTTGTACGTGCATTAATTAAGACAGCAGACAAACATATGTCCACGACAGCGCTGTCTGCTGCCTGGCCTCACATACAGTAGACGACAGAGTGTATTTACACACAGAGGAAACCAAAGCAGCTGCTTAGCCTTTAAGATGTTTACAGTAGGATGTAGGCCAGCGCTGGGCTCTGGACTGTGACTAAGGGTCAGGACCATACCACCACACAAACCAGACTGCCTAGCTGGCATGAGGCCCTACCAACAGGGGCTGAAAGTCTTGAAGGAAAACAAGCCTGGATTAATAAAGCCTTTGACCGCTAATGAGATCTGAATGCACAAAGGCAATTTGTCGGCTTAGGCCAAAAAAAAACAGCTAATATTACCCAGTAAGATTGATAAAACTGGTAGAGAACGTGACAGGCTGCTTTTAGTAGAGGAAACAAAGTGATCTGTCACACTGACAAACCTGACAAACACTGACAAATTTAGTGTTTTTACTTTCAGGGCAGTTAAATAGGATGCTGGCAGATGAGACGAGCCTTTTAGGATAATTAACTTATAGATAAGAAAGATTTGTGGCACTCTCTCTCCAACATCAGTAAATACATCAATAAAAAAACATCAATGGCAGTTAAAATGTTCCGCTGCCACGACTAAAATGTAAGAAGCTCCTGTGTTATATTGCAGCAGTCGTTTTAGAAGCTCTACATTATTGCACCGGAGTTAATGACGCGTGGTCAATGAGTCTATTTTTAGCAAGGTAAACATATGAAAAAACATTTTTCTTACAGGTGTTCTAATTTAAAAAGATTTTAATAACTAAAACCTGTTAAGACACATCTCTAAGGTGTCTCCACAACCCTTGAGATAATTTTGCGTTTTTGATATTAAAGGTTAGGGTCAAATACAACCGATACTGCGAAAGTCTTCCTGTTCTGTAGAACAAATCTTAATCTGCATTGTTCTAAAGTTCCCGTGCGGCTCCCACTACCTGACACTGGTTTCCCCACAGTACTTAACCCTGCTGCCTGTGAATTCAGCGATTAACCAACAGGGCTTCCAGCTGCTTGAGCTTCAGCATAAACAGATCCACAGCAGATACAAGAAAAAGGAGGGCTTGTGTCCTCCTTCATTTTGTTTTTTTTTCCACTGGAAGATTGTGTGAGTGGAGAAGAGGAGAGAGAAGAATATCTTTCATTCTTACTTATTGGCACAAAAGCTGAGACTGACAGAGGGCTTTTTTATTTGTCACACAAAGGGGGTGTGACAGGCCGGAAAGAAAATTTTACATTCAGTTTTACAATTTCTCTCGGCAAAGGAAGTGGGCATGAAGAAAGGTTGGAAGAAAAAAAAAAATAGAACCTGAGAGAATAACTGACAGAAGCTTGGTCTTTGTCAACGTATCTGCCCCACAATGAGCTGGCACACATCTACAAACATGGTGTTCAAAGAGAATCATCTTCTGATCTTAGGCTACCTGTGCTTCTACAGTTACGGAGCAGATTACAAGAAACAAACGACCACACTGACTGATTCATAACCACTGACTCTCAGATATGTGCTTTAAATAAACAGAAGCCGTGTCAGATTAATTAATAAGGTTTAGAGTTTGTGGTTCTACTGTAGTCTCTCTTTTTGTACTTCATATGAGTAGTAATGCTTGTTTGTTGTGTAAACACCTGCTGGCAGACTCATTGTTTAACAGACATATTAAATGTTATAATCCTGACAGCGTCCTGTCTTTTATCAGTCCTAGGGAGATGACATTTCAAAGCCGATACGGTCAATTTTAACATGTAACATCTTAGATTTGCTAAACAACACATGTAGCCTCCTGTTTATAACAAACCCACCCCGGCCTTGGTTCTTATGAACTTGTTAACCTCTGTAGAAAAAGCTCTGACAGATACAGGGTTGAGTATTAAAGGTTGGTATGTTATTAGAAGTCAGGGCTTTTTTTTTTCACTTTTCACTTTACTTTGCACCTGTGTCTGCTGTGACCTACGGCTCCTGATAAGGGGGCTTTTGTTGGTCCGGTTTGGCTGAGTGAGATTGGATTTGTGTGTATAGTAAGTGTGTGTGTGTTTAGGGTTGGGGGGGGGTTACTGCATAGTCTCTGCTGCGCAACTTACACATGGCCCAACTCATGAGCAATAGTGAAGGAGGCACTAATTCCATTTTCCTCACTGATGGAACAGCTCCGGTACAGGTCACACATGGTGCCCAGCTCTGCCAGTCCTACGGGGTCACACACACACACACACAAATGGAGTCGAACACATTATCACATACTGTACAGTGATTTCAGGAGAAAAACACAGCATGTTGTTGGACTAACTCTTAGCTCTACCCGAAAACATCTACAGCTATGTGGCTAATCTAAAAGTTTTTAATTGTTAAAAAGACTTGATTATAACATCTCTCATTAACCCAAACTCATTACAAAAAAAACTTCACAAGCCACTAAAAAACTTTACCTAACGTGTCACACTTGTCTTTTGCTCGGCAGATGTCTTCCCTAAAAACACAAACCCAACAATAAAGACACGGTTATTGACTTCGAGGGATTCACTTCTGCTGTCATATTGAAGTCAGAAGAGAATTCTGGACCTGGTGATGAGAAGTGCCGTGTCGTGATGAGAGGGGTCACTGTCGTCCTGGACGTTCTGACCCTGCTGCCAAACACAGAAGTTGTGGAGGGTCGTGGCAGCGTTGAAGCTCACCGTGGGCCCTTCCTGTTAGAGAACGACAAATGATTTGTCTTTACCCAACTGTAAATATGGTTAATATGTATCAAACTTTCAAGTTCTGATTAGGTGGATCAGAGGTTGAGATTTAAATGACGTCTCATACAGTACCATTGTAACTGAGCAGCCAGTGGCCTAGAGGTCAGTATTTGCTTATATTTGTTCTGTTCTGTTTCTAGCTTGCCAATGTAATTCATTTTAAAATACATCGCCACTGCTTTTGTAAACGTTAAAAACCAGCTGTTTTGTTCAGCACGAATGAAGAAGGATGGAAGAAAGGAAGCAACACAAAATATCAAATGGAACAAAGCGGCTCAGTTCTGGTTAAAATGGTTCTGATAAGTTGTCCCAGCACTGAGGTGATGACATTTTAAATGTCACTGCGATTAACAGTCATTATGGAAAAATGTGTATTAGTCTGGTGAATCTCAAAAGTTTAATATAACGTTAATTACATCTCCTGTGCAGGTGGCTCCCTGCTTCACTATAGAACCATTTGTTTTCCGAGGAGAGCTCTCCGGAGACTCCACACTGAGAAGAAACATTGTTTTCTTTTCAAACTCTGAAATCTTACAGAGGAAAGGCCAGACGCACACCTGCACTGACGTCAGCCATCTTGGAGACAGGCAGTATGTAATGACCCCACGCTCACCTGTTCGTTGTGGATGACGACCAGCTTAACGACCATGATGTTGATGAGTTTCCTTACACTGGGATCCCTGTACACTGCAGCTACCTGTAACAAAGACAGAAAACAGACAAAGGAAAATGCAAAAATGCACTGACCCAACATAAGAATGGGGAGAGAGAAGGTCAGAAATATTTTTCGTAATATTTTGACAGAGGAAACACTGTTGAGACACCCGTAAATTATCAAATGGATAATTTTAGTTGAAATAAAATTAAAATTTTTGTTTAGCATATATTTATATGGATATTAATGCCAATTGAAAATTGGTGGCACTAAGTCTCACATGACTTCATTATTATTAACCAATGAAAACATTTGTGGTGGAGCAAAGATTGCTGCAGCTTTTACATGAACCAGAGCAGAAAAGAAATGGCGGAGACAAAAAGTTGTAAAAATAATTTCAAGTCTCAGACAGTGTGGTGGATTAATACTGTAGAAGTATTAAGTTATTTATAAACACAGCATCAGCGTCATCACTAAAATGCAATACGCATTGTTGTCAGACAATTACTTAATAAAATATTTGTGCTTTGTTAACAGTTTCAGCAAGCCAAAATTAATTGCAAATTGTTCATACAGCAGTACTTTTAAATAAAACTGTCATTGTCCACTGCATCTATAGGTATATGGTTCCTTGGTTCCTGCCAGTGGTCAACTGAATCCATGACCACACTCCAGACAGGAACTGTCTGTGCATCCAAACCAATCAACTTGTCTAAAATAACAAAATAAAAGGTTCTCCCGGTCTCACCCACGCGGGTCTGGGGGAGTCCTGTTCTTTATGTTCCTGCTTATCAGTGTTTGTTATTGTGTTATCAGTGCAGAGAAGGGGTGGGGGAGCAGCCGGACCACCGTAACAGACTGTTACACTGACCGCCAGACTGAAGACAGGAGGTTTTCAGCTGAGCTGTGGATACGGTCGAGGACACGCAAGCGGAGTTCTAACAGACTGTTCTGTCAATCTCAGCAGATATCTTAACTTGTTTAGACTGTTCCTTTACACGTAAATGTGACGATATAAATGAGGCTGAATGGCACACATTAAAACTGTTGACTGAATCACTGACTGTAAAAGTACTAATGAAAATATAATCTAGGTACTTTACCCTCATGGTCTAGTAAATTGTACTTTATATTTCTTAATCCTGCCTAAAACTGGCAGTTACTGTGGTTAAAAATGAAGACAACGTAAACTGTACAACATAAACTACCTTAATGTGTCATGATTGCAGTATGTAGTATTAGCCCACTACCAGCATCTATACATCTTGACCTTCTGGCCTTGAGTTTGACACATGTGCTCTAGCTTAAATGCATTAAGAAATACAGGAAAAATTAGAGAGCATAGAGAGAATGCACATTGCAAACACCAGTATCTTTAGTTTATGTCTGGTGACATAAACTAAATAATGACAAAAAAAAAAAACTAAATCTAGATCAATAAAAAGAAATGAAACTACAAAATTTGGACAAAATAGTAGTTTTTAAAAACATTATCTTACTTACTACTGACATGATTGTTAGGATGTAGTGCTCTAGGTTGCGTCCGTGGTGACGAGCCATTTTGGCATCTGCAGTCACCATCAGCTCCACGTAGCGAGGATAGGAGAGGAATCGCTTTTGTCTCCGTGGAGATCCCGGGTGTGAGGAGTTGTTTTTAATTATGTGCTCATCTTCTAATTCTGCTCTGAGATGATCCAGCTCCTCTCCCATGTTCGTTCTGCCCTCCAAAGAACCAGGACCATTGGATTCCTCTGTTTAAAAAAAAGTTTTAAAAAAATTAGATCAAAAATTCAACTTGTCATAATAGGTCATTAATTCTCTAATCTCAGGAGCGTCATCAAATTGGAAGAGAATTCATCGTCATACATTATTAATATTATTTCATCATCAACACTGGTCATAATAACAGTGGAAACTCTTATCTAAAACACAGCAGGTCAAGCCCTTCTTATCTGAGCAATTCCAAAAGAGCAAATCTTACAATTTTCCAACGGAGTAAAAAAGGAATGAAAGAAATGCACTTTGTATATTCTCACTGGAAACTTTCCCTCAGCTGAACTGCACGTGTTGACTTGGCTGTGAGCTACGGATTCCTTCACACTGACCAAGGGATGGAGGGAGAAACTGAGGCAGACCCGAAAAGTGTGAAGAGTTTGTTTTAATGAGAAAAGTACAAAAAACGAAATTGAAGCTTCACAACGTTAGTTCGCAGATGTTTGGAAACGAGGCGCTGGGAGAGCAGGCCAAACACACAGACCAGCCTGAAATTAAGAAGCGATTACGCCTGAGCAACAGATGTGTACAGCATAGTTAATCAGTTAGTCTAAGGTGTTGTTTCCATATCATCAATCCTAATCCAGATTGGACGGGTGTCACCTTTATTAAGAGTAAAGATTAAAGTTCTTGGTGAAGAGAAAATGAAAAATGCAATGCAACGCAAAGGCAACTGACGGCGGAGAGTTTTGGTTTGGTTGTTGTTTGTTTGTTTGTGTTTGTTAGTTTTTGAGACCCACACAGACACATAGACAACTCTGGCACACTCTGGTCTTTCATCGAACCTTCAACAAAGTCCAGATGAACTGAGGCCGTCGTGGACATTCAGAATTAAACAGTGTGTTCTCCATTGGAACATTTGTTTCAAAAAGCTCCTGAGATTCTCAGAATCTCTGCCTTGTGTCAGCGCTGAAGATAGTCAAGCGGCAACGACGATGTGTCAGCAATCAAGACGTCGTGGGTTCGACTCCCACAAGGTAAGACCAAAGTGTGTGTGTGTCTATGTGTCTGTGTGGGTTTAAAAACTAAGAAAAACCAAACAAACTAAAACTCTCCGCCGTCGGTTGCGGTGCGTTGCGTTTGCGTTGCGTTTGCGTTGCGTTTTTCATCTTCTCTTCAACAAGAACTTTAACTTCAACAAGTCAATGTTTTGGTTTGGAAAAGCACACTAGCATTTTGTATCTTCATTTTTGTTGGACTTCATGTTTTCTCAGATGTTTCCAGGAGTGACTGTTTGGAATTGAATAGAGTCTGAAGACAGGGAACCACAGATGGAGCCCATTGTGTCACACTGGTAATGAGACAGTTTTTAGGAACTTCTGGTTAACTTCTGTGCAGGACTCTGTAGTTGTGGCCCAACAAAGTTTGACAGGAGCCAATCAGAGGAGGAGAGACAAACCTGTGTTTAAAAATCTGTGACTTTTAAATGTTCTTTTTTTTAAATACACTAAAAGAATGATTCAGACAAAAGGTCAATAAACAAAACAACTTTTTTTTCTTCAATAATTTCATGCATGACAATGTTTACGAGCTCTGCATAGTTTGAAGTCTGACACACCAAACGGCCGCCTTAGCTCTGGACAACACGCTTACAGTGAAGAGTTGCATTGTCTTAGAAAGACTCAATTTTTCCAGACGTCAAGACAGAGAGACACTGTGTATAAGTCTAAAGTCAGAATAATGCAAAAAAAGAGAAAAGGACAGACAAATATGGTCTGTCCAAGCAGTAGTGGGGACAGAGGGCGGGCTGGGATTCCCTGTCACAGTGCCACACAACTCTTGATGACATGAGGCCAAGCCTGATGCCGATGTCATCAACAGTAAACACATGCCAAGTCAGAGCTCCATTCAGATAAGGTCAGAATGCAGCCTCCACATTTTCAGGCAAATGAAAACATTCGGCCGACTTTGAAAAGAGACTTATCACCACGGATGACGCAGCATCAAAGGGATTATCAAACACAGGAGAGAATGTATTTACAGAAACTGGTGTTAAATCTCAGAGCTGGAAGGTGAGATAAAGAAATAAAAAGAGAAAGAAGTGGGAGGGGGGAAATATGGACTCTGCTATAATAGCCTTTGAATCAGAGATTAGCCAAGCACAACCCTTCCCAAATCGCCTTAGGTTCAAATCCCCCTCTCTGGGTAGTGAGCCGCTACTTACACCATGAGAGGACAGGGGTGACTGCCCTGAAACACTGGACCCAACGGAGACATGACATCACAACTTCAGCTCTGGGAAACAGATAAGCTACACTTGGAATTTCATGTAAATGCACCAACTTTAAAAAAAAATTAAATACACATTTCATCCTAACAAGTCTATGAAAGAAGACAAGCGAGGTCGTCACGGGTACTAGCATTCATTAGCATTCATGGCACCAAAGTTTAACTGCCTTAGCACCAGTTTTTTCAAATCAATTTATTTTTAAGTAAAATGAGTAGATGTGTTCCATGTTCTGTGCTACAGCAAAAAAACATTTATTTCTTAATCTTATAAAGCATTGTTAGCAAATTTTCAACCAAGCAAGGAAAAAGAATTACGTTAATATATTTGGAGTGTTGCAATGGGTTTTGATCCAGCTCCATTTAATTTTCCCAAAACTCAAATGTGTCATCCATCAGAACATTTTTTTCAAAAAGCTCTGTGTCTTCGGCGCTGAAGATAGTCAAGCGGCAACGACAACGTGTCAGCAATCAAGACATCGTGGGTTCAACTCCCACAAGGTAAGACCAAAGTGTGTGTGTGTCTATGTGTCAAACAAACAACCAAAAACCAAACCAAAACTCTCCGCCGTCAGTTGTGTTTGCGTTTTTCATCTTCTCTTCACCAAGAACTTTAACTTCATCTGCAGCATCATCCACAGTAAGTCAACATTTTGGTTTGGAAAAGCACACTAGCATTTTGAACAATAGGAACAATACCCAAAAGCTTTGCCTCAATTTCAGAGACATGTAACCGAAACCATTCTGATGAGGATTGCAACGATGGGGGTTTGATCCAGCTCCAATTCATTTTCCCAAAACTAAAATAATATTTAAAATAAATAAATTTAAGGCAGCAGAGGAGGGTGATTATGGAGATTATGACCTGGTCAAAAAAAAAACACCTTTCCTTAAATTCAACAAAAAATACATTTGTATTAATAGTAGAACTGCCTGCTCAGATGGAGGACATAGAAAATAACTAAAATAACTTTTTGACTCATTTTCATACATCCACAGTGGTAAAACTTTGCATTTCATGGCTCGTGTGTACACTTCGTGTTGAAGCCCATTCATGTACTTACATGAAGACTGATTGACCAAGATCAAAGAGCTGCTCTTTGACTCCCCTTTAGTGTTCTGTCAGAAGTATCAAGAGCTCAACAGCAGGGAACACAACATTTCATTGTTAAACTAATTAACATTCTTGTACAATGCCCCGCTGAGAGTTAAAGCACCCCGTTTCTCCACTTGCTGCTTAAACAGACTTTGAACCTTAGTCTTAATGTACAGTACAATGCTGCGGTTCTTTGCCAAGTCAGACATTATGCTTTTTGCAATATAGCTGTCAGTACAACTCACGCAGGAATAAGGTTTGACCCCAGGCACAGACACAATTAAGTGCAATTCTGTGGCTAGACGTGGAGTGGCAAAGGCGGCTAATTGCTGAACAGGGCTTTTCTAACACGTACAGGGCTGTCAAAGGTCGGGTGTTATTTTCAGTGTAGTGACAGGAGAGAGACAGACTGTGTGCCGGTCAGCCTTACGCCTCAGGGAATGTAGGACACTGAATGTAGGATAAATGTAACAAAAAAAAGTGCATAAATAAATAGCTTATATAGAATATGCATAATTTTTTATGCTGTGTAGGGATTACCAACCCCTAGTGGATAAGTTACACATTGCTCTTCAAAGTTTTCACCTCAGAAAACATGGTAGCCTTCTGTTATTATTACAACAAAAAGCATTTTGTACTATTGAAAATACCAAATCATACTTTTACCAAGTAATGTGACCAAGTTTTGACTATATTCAGGGTTTAATTTGATCCTCCGACATGAGATCTGTCACATAAAAAAAAAGATTCTCCGTGTTCTGGGACCTCCCACTTTACAATTAAGCATTTCGTTTCATATATAAGTCTGTCATTGAGTAACGCCTGTCCTCTTAGAGGACAAACTGCCAGAACCTTAGGCGATGACAGTAGTGTTCCACTGGACCCTGCCCCTGTTCAGTTCTGCTCTGTTCTGTTCAGACTGCTGTCGTTCACCTGTCACCCACTCTCACCTCTGACTCCCGGTCACTCCACCATGCAGTCACTTACCGTTGCTCAAGTTGCTCTAACTATTCCAATCAGCTACCATCTGTTCAGAGTGAGCAGACAGTAGACGGAGGTAGAAAATAGGCTCAGCTGGAATCTGTCACGGGAAATCCCAGGACAACACATTAGGTTCAGCGAGGCTAAGGCCCAAGGGCAGGCAGACACATGGCAGTCATTAAAGTGATAGACTACCTATAAGTGACCAGCTTCGTTCAGACCTGTCCAGAGTATCTGTTGTCTTAGAATCATTTGGCATGCAATGCGATGGTCTATTTTATTAGCTGCTGGTACCATCTGTCCTGTGGTGTTACAACAACGAGATCAAGGCTATTTCAGGCTACTCTTAACTGTAGATGTTTCAAACTGCACAAAAGCTGCACTGGCTAACTGAGTTAGCTAAGTTATAAAGCCTCAAATGAGGAGATAAGAAAAAAGGCTGGCACATTTTTTCTACAGTACTCGACACTGCATTTTAAATATTTTATATTTATATTTACATTTTTTTGCCCAAAACATTTTTTGCTAATCCTCTACATTGGTCCTTTACCAAAACAAACAGCTTCAACAATCAGGTTAGAAGCTAATGTGCTTTAATAATTTAATTGGATAATAGGCAAACTCTTATCAAAGTAACTTCAGTAACACCAATCCTAGTTCTGCAATACGTTTGTGTTGGTGTCAAAGTAGGAGGCAAACAAACAAACAACATTTAGAGGAGTTCTTCTTCTAGTCTTTTGTTCCAGGTCAATAGCAGTTCAGTCACAAAGCTACTTCAGAGCAGCATGAGTGAAGACTGAAAGACTGGCAGTGGGAGTATGAGAGAAAGACGGAGCCTCAGCCAAACTCTAAAGTAAGACTGACAATCGCATCGCAGGGCAGACTTTTGACTGCTGGACCACTGCTGAAAATCATAAAGAGACTATTTCTATGTCCAGTTAGCAATTCCCAGTTGTCATTGGTAACCGTTAGTCCACTAACTGTTCTAAATGACTCAAATACACATCCACAAGCAGCCGAGGTGGTCTATACACACTGCAGTCCAAAACAAACTTTTCTGCCCAGTAACAATACATTTCCCCTGTAGGCGACTCCATCTGTCCAGAGGTCAGGAGGCACGAGGGACTTCTAAGCCATTTGGAGTCATCTAACAGTCAAAAGCTCTTCACCGTATAAAACCAGACCTTAAAGGTAAGAGAGGTTGACTTGTCAGTTCATCCCACCCCTGATTGGCCTCCTACCCTGACCCTATGTCAAGGACCAGAGTTAAGAAAGAGACAAAAAGCTTAACGCAAGTAAAATTCCGACTCAGTCCAAGCAAACAAACCAGCGAGCACAGCACCCAGGCACTTGTAGGAGGGAGAAAATCTCAAGGTCACATCCACCCGTCCAGTGAACAACTACAAACAAAGGGGGAAGTGAGGTCACAATCAACAAGCGTCTCCATTCACATACATGAAAGCGTGAAGAGAAAGCGGGCAGTGATTCAAGTCGGCTAGTTCAAACCGCAGGCGGGGGAGGACATTTTTTCCATGTAAATGAATCCATTGAAAAAAAAAAACTGATGCTAGCATTTCAACTTCCATGTATACACAGTGGGCACCAAGAGGGGAGTCCTATACAATGATGGTGTTGAGGGTCAGGGGGCGCTGATGCCCACTACGCCAAGCATCGCCACATCAAAAAGGGAGTTCCTCTGCTGGCTAAGCAGCCCTCGACAAGAGAGCCACGAGTCATTAGAAATGCTTAGAAAACTTAAGCACTAGATTATTGATGTGAGGATCCATCAACTGGTTGTGTTTGCTTTGGAGTAAGATGCGTTCAATAAAGTCAGACAACTATGAGACTAGCTGTCTACCTGCCCCACAGGCACCACTCTCCACATGAGCCTAAAAGGGCAAAGGGACGAGAACCGGAGAATAATCCGCCCCTATGTTCAACAACAACCCTCATCTTTGTGGCTATCTCCATCGAAGGAGTTACAGGGATTCACATGCAAGCCTCAGGACACACGGCAAAGTGTGTCATTAAAGAACGGAGCTGTGTTGTGATTCCTGTACGCCACACTTGTTTCCCCAGGGGCTCTTAAAAGCCAGAACCAGTAACAACAATCCACTCTGAGACTTTAAAACATTAATCAGCCACTCAACAGCTATCTAGTGCAGAGGTATTTCAAACAGCACTGAAGCCACCCAGGTTGACCAGCAGAGAGGGACTGACACAGTGCCTGAAAGTGTCAGTAAATAAGACCTCACTCTGAAGTTGCCCAGATTACTTGATTTTGAAAAATTTGGCAGTTTTCTACTGCCACGGGTTCAACTAGTCATTTTGACTGTAGTACATATGCACCGTAGCACATGTGCTACAGTGATACTACAGGAGTTTATTAGCGCCACATGAACACACACGGCGAAGAAAGGCAGCTGAAGACAGGCACAGAGCTCTGTCATGACTGCTGGAATAACAAAGCATCATCTTCCTTCAAGGTAACACTTTAAGGACCTCAGCGGTGCACTTCCACCTCTGACACGTAAAACTGACGGCACATGTGTGAAAAAGTCAACTATTTGTACATGTCAAGGAAGACACGTGCAAAATTAAAAACACGTCTCAGTTCCAAACGCTTCCTTCCTCTCCTTTTGACACATTTTTTTTGCAAAAGTGTGCACAGACTGTTCAAACTTTGGAAACATTCCTCGCCTTAAGATACAGAGGTTCCACTTGTTTTGGAACCGTGCCAGAGCGCAACACATGAAGACGTCCTATCTGCAGGAAAAGCTTTATCTCACCTGAGGCACTGTATCTTTGTCCTGATGCATATTTTGTTTTCTGATCAACTGGATAAAATGAAGACTGTTTCATCTTTTCGTTGTCCGCAGATACAGTGGTTCATATCATGCCACCACAAACAGAAGAGCAAATTACAATATAGTAAATATAACAAAGTGTTGAGATGCAACAGATCTGCGGTGGGCTCCATATGTTTGGCCTGCAAACATGTAGATATGTGAAATCTGTCAAACCAAATCAGCCCCCAAAGCTGTACTTGTAAAGTAAATAATTGTTTATATCCGAATCAAAATATAATCTGTATATTCAAAAAAATATGACTGAACTGACAAATGAAGTATATGCCAGTGGTATAAAATGATTAAAGAACATATCTGGATCAGTGAAGTAACGGATCTAGTACAAGACATGGACAAGTTGTTAGATTTTTCAACAGTGTTTTATAAGAACATGTATATCTCTGGTAGTGAATAAAACCAGACAAAAGCACAAACACAATTGTCAGACTCAGTTTATAATTAATCAATTAAAGTTGCCACTTGATTTAAATGTATACAAATTCAGCTTTAATGACAAGACTGTGCCCTAGTTGAAGCCAACTTGGTCTTAATTCCCCAGCTCTGTCTGATTGTACTTGATTACTCAACACTTTTCTCTCTCAGCAAATTAGGCTGTGGTTAGCAGCCCTACACTTATCCCCCGACTTAGTCTGATGTGGAACATTAGGTGAAGAAAAGGCCTTTAGCAACAGACATGCAGTAAATACATGGTACTTCATACAGTTAGGTGAAGACAAAGAGGAGTGTAAAGGGTTAACGCTGCACTACAAACAGCTAACCATGTTTTCACTGTACCAGCAATATAAAAAAAAATGTGTGTCAACAGGATTCGTACATACAGTTTTTTTGTGGACAGAATGAAGTATAAACAAGTCCACTGGACATACAGTGGACCAACTGAGTCAGATTCAACTCCGATTTAAACCGAGGACTAACAAACATATAAACAGAAGCAGCATCTGCACGAGTTCAACAGGCAAAGTGACACCAAGCCAGTGTTTACATCCACTGGCTGCTGGTAGCAGCGGAGCTCCACACTCCTTCCCATAAAAAGACAGGACAGTGCTGTTAGTTTTGGCTCAGTGAGGCCTTCAAAGAGTCCATTTATCACAGCATCTCGACAAGTACCGATCAGATAAAGTTGGCGAGACAGAGCCTGGGACACCTCACAGTCCTTACTCTAGTCTCCTCTACAGTATCTTAGATATAGAACACTGTCTTCTAGTTTAGACCTTCAAGAACCACTTTGCCTGCACACAATATTCCCTCTCAGTCTTCCAGCTTACACTGATCAACACTTTTACATAATACACTGATTTGGATGAAGGAACAATACTGAATTGTAACTTGCAAAGAACATTGTTGAATGTATTCCTGGCACTTCAGAAGTCAAGGATCTTGTGCAGAGCCAACACTCTCCCAGTTCTCAGGAGACACTATATTTAAAAGTGCCACAGAGTGGGGGCTTAAGAGACCCTCCAGATTTCTCAGCCTCTGTTTACCACACACAGACTGAGTGAAAGGACAAAGCATATGAAGGGGGTATTGGCCTGGCCCATCAGGTCAGCCCAAGTCTTTTAAACTGCCGGCACACACAATAGTCACCACTAGGCAACAATGCCTGTGTTCAGAAACAAGCCAATCAAGAGACCTGTACATAAAAGATTTATTGCTCCAAATAACAAAGGACGCAATGACCGCTCCTCGGCCTTCAAAAATAGTGAACTCCTTTAGGTCACCGAGCTTTCTCATCAGGGCCTCTCTCTGCCACCCAGAGGTTTCAACCATAAAAATTCTATTGAAATTGGGAAAACATTCAAGCAACCTCCCAGGCAGAAAATCTCTCTCTTTTTTTCATGGGGGTTTCAACAAAAAAAATTTAGAGAGCAGCAACTTCCTTCCAGGCCAAAGTCATTTTTACAGAAACGGTGAAAAATTACCATATGTACTTTACCTGTGGAACTGAGCTGCTACCAGTCATTCTGACAAATACATGAACTCCTTGTCAGAATTATTTTCCTCTTCTCTGTGAGCTCATCACACAGCTTCAGGATTAAACAAGCTAGCGAAAAACACCAGACAGAACCTGCGCTTGATTAAATTGAGGAATTCTGAGCAACACCCATTAATCAAGACTGAAATCTTCTGGGGATCATACTTGCCAACGATCGTGACTGGCTATAATTTGCATTATAGCAAGTGTTTATTGCCATGGTGCAGAATATGACCGTAGCTGATGGGGCTGTAAGAGTCTGTGGGTGAAGTTCAGAGAGACAGTGGTTACAGACGGAGTGGTTACGCAGTCTGTTACCTGAGGTAGCACAGGGTTCTGTGTTGCTGTCGCTACGTGAGATGTTCCTCTTCCGCTCGTGTCGGTAGATGAGATGAGGTTTGTTGTGCTCTTCATCGTATTCCGTCCCCTCTGCGTTCAGAAGAGGCTCCAAAAAATATTCACCTTGATGCGTTGTGAAAGTCCCAACCTAGAATGACAATAGAAAGTTGTCAGGTGCTATAATTAATTTGTCCTGCAGTGGCCTAAGGTACGGTGTGGTATAGTTTATCAGGCACTTTTAAAACACAGATATTATTGTGTACTCGTTGGAATCAGTTTGTCCCTGATTGGATGCACGAGTAACCCTTCAAGTACAATGGGCATTTTCACACTCTAAAGCAGTAGCTAATATTTCAGAGAACTCTCTATTGCTATGAAAACACATTTTTCATCAGAGCTGACACTGTGGGAGGAGTGACATCATCATATGTGGACAGGGCTGCTGACAGAGGAACGCTTACATTGATTTGGCAGCTCAGTCCTTACATAAAGACGTCTTCTCTCAGAGGGACAATGGAGGTTGCATGGTAATTTAATGTGCACACAGTGTGCAGGACATTGGGAACTGGAATGTTTTCTTTATGACAGCTCTAGTCCACAGACATCCGTACAAATGATGGACGTTTGGCAAAGGAAAATGTACAAACCGGATATGGAAAACATGTTGAACATGCGCTTTTCCTTCCACCCTTCAGAAAACTGAAAGACCGATTGGCCTGCACATGTATCCTAAACTGGGGAAAAGCACTGTAGGCCTTTAGTGCTGACAGAAAATAAAAAGAAAAGGGCATCATGAAGTAAAACCCTCTATTATATCGTCGTCCTCTTCTTCTTCTTTGGGCTGCTTTCTTCCTTACATGCTTTTAGGTTAAATTATTCAAAATTATTTTATTTTAGGGGTCAAATGTATTTTATTTTATTTCAACTTCAGTGGTCCATTTTATTATTAATATTCCATATTTTCATTTATTTTTTAAATGTTTTATTTTAGAGGCATCATTTTAGTTTTATTATATATATATATATATATATATATATATTTGGATCTTTTAACTCTGAGTTGTCTTTATAGATATGTGCCCATCATATTATGTATTATGTTCTCGTGAGTTGAAAACAAAATCTAACTAACTGATAATCTCTTACAAACTGAATTGTTAAAATGACCCTAACAAGCAATTCCCTGAAAAGCCTACAAGACTTGACTCTGGGCAAGAAAAAAACAAAAAAAAGGCTACATAATGACAGGACCAATAGAGGAATGCAGACTAATTAGTAAGACAGCCGAAGATTGACATTAAATGTCAGATGCATTTCACTGCCTGAGGGCAAGAGATTCAGAAGTAGGTAATGTTAGCTTTATTTTATTCTACTGTAACCAATATATTCATCTTAATCCACTGCTCTTTAATTCATCTGTCTCTTATGGATAATCCATTAATAAGTGTGGCAGGGAGAGTTGTAGCCAATCTCTGCAGACGGCCGTGAAAGATTTGAAAAAAAAAAAAACATTTTGACTGACTCTCTGAGATTCTCTAGATTAGTCTGAAACATTCTGTCTAAAAACTACAACACTGGTAGATGTTTATCTGTATCAAGTAAATCACTGTCTACACTCAGATCATTATAACTGGATAATTCTGACAAAGCTGTTCCAAAGTTCTCATGTGGTGTCAACCAAAAGCTGCAGAGACAAATGGTCTTTTTAGTCCATGGAGCAGCAGAGTTTCAGACTTTTTCAGCATTAGCTTAGCATGAAATCTGGCCAATGGACACAGTTGATGCTGTTCAGTACACAGTGCTGACCCGGGTCGTAAAAATGGGTTTGAGGAAAGAAAAAAAAACTGCTGGCATGCATTTGTTTACTTTAATCACACAATACTGCCAAGTCATCCACTACGTGTAGCCTACAGTGACTGTGAATCTCTTAGGATAAATAGGACATAAAGGTGTCATGAGTCTGATCTTTGCACAGAGGTACCACACATCACATTGTGCTGCAGTGAAGAAAAGCCTCATTTCCCAGCACAGAGTGACTCAACACACATCTTCTGTTATCTGAGAGAGCTAACATTTCCCACAGTTTCAATGATCCTTGAGGGTCTTTAAAAGTGTTACTTCTCAAAGGAGTGAGTCTGAGGGTTTACCCTGGATGAAATTATCAACATGATTCACTGTCTGGTAGGGATTGTGCCAACTGTGCATCAAACACAGGTATCTCCATATTCTGTGATTACAGACAGAGTACATGTAACACTTAGTCCAGTTCTTCAAGAATTTCCAATTAGAAAATACAGCAAATAAGACAGAAAAAGGTCAACAAGTAGAACTGTCATTAACTTGACAATAAGGCAGTATTTAGTAACTAAGGGTTTTGATTCATTGCTTGTATATGGGATTTTTATAGCATTGCTCCTTCCTCTGCCAATCCCAGCTCTGTTTGGAAAGACCTAAACCTTTCTAGTGACCCCCCCTAATTCCCCCCTGGGGATGGCTTTAGGCAACTGTGGCTAAAGTGGAACCTGCTTTTTCCCAAAATGACCCCCTTTGTTTTATAGCTAAATTATTCCTTAATGACCTCATCCCAACAAAATGTGCCTGGCCATTAAGCCTCAGTGATCAGATACCGACACATTTATGACCCAATAGCCTTTGGTGCTGTCTCCATTGTTCTGTCATTCTTAATGAGTGATGATGCGGATAAGCAACAAAGATGGCTTGAAAAAGGACGCAAACATGTTTGGATAAGCGAGTCACACATCAAAGTCGAGCCGAGGGGCAATTAAATGCTTATTACCCTGACTTTTCCAGGATATCCCATGTCTTAAACTGCTAGGCAAACACGGCAAACCAATTGTGGGAAGGTAATTTCTTAAAGAAGACCAGCAGAGGTTAATTTACAAACCTTTTTTTTAATAAAAAGGATTAAAAGCACTAGATGCTTTGGAAATGAAGGAGTTCAAATACCCTCACAGTGCAACTGACACCTACAGTGAGACACGCCATCTTGGCACTGACCACACTGCACCAAACTAAAATAAGGGTTATGTCACTGACAAAAGTTATGACAGGGAGGGAGACTCCAGGCATTTGGCACTCTCTCCTCTCTAGGATGCAGTGTCCCCTCAAGCACCCCCCCCCCCCCGCTCCACCCCGCAGCCTTTTTCTATCCATATTCGCCCTA